TTTTGTTCTTGCGCTTTACATATATTCTCAGGTATATTTTCTTGTAATTCTTTAAACGCTAGGGGGCTTAAAAATAATGTTAATAGAAAGGCTGTGTTTTTGTTTTGTAAGGAGCAAAAGGCTAATTGTGTGTTTTTACAAGAAACTCATTCAACAGAGGAAGACTGTAATTTTGGAAATTACAGTGGGGTGATACAATTTTTGTTAGTCACAGGACTTCACACTCTGCAGGTGTAATGGTTCTGTTGAATAGATTTCCAGGTAAGGTCATAGAGCATATTGGAGATAATAATGGACACTGGCTTGTAGTAATAGCAGATATCAATGATGATAAATATATTTTGGTTTGTATTTATGGATACAACGAAAGGAGTAAAAATAAGTGTTTATTACATGAACTTTGTAATCAAATTTCAAAATACAAGCAATCTTACTCGACTGATAAAATAATTATAGGAGGAGACTTTAACTTGGCTCCAGATTTGTGGTTTGATCGAAATCCCCCAAGAGCATTATGTCACAAATATGATGACCTTATTCTCCATTTTAATTTTAATAATGCTAATCTGGTAGACTATCGGAGGGTAAATAATCCTCAAACATCAGCATTTACATGGTTTAATACATCTGGAAATGGCCAAAGCTCTAGAATAGACTTATGGCTTGTTTCAGTGCCTTTGGTTAACTTCTTTGAAGAGTGTTCGATTTCAGCTTCACCTCTCACTGATCACTGTGTCATCACATTGTCCTTCGTGTTTTTGCAGGAACAACATGGAATGTACTCCACTTGGAAATTTAATAATAGTCTTTTAAATGATTCCTATTTTGATAAAAAAAAAAGTTAGAAATCTAATTTTGGAGGTAGACACTTTGGATATGTCTTCAGTCAGCAAATGGGAGTGGTTTAAATTTAAAGTTAAAGCTTTTGCAATTCAGACTAGCAAATATATTCAGAAGCGAAAAAGACAGAAACAACTAGAACAACTAGAAACCTTCCTTTGCAATGTGAATACAATCAACCCACTGATGTTGATACTGTAAGATTAAACAAATTGCAATCGGAACTTGATGAGTTATACTTGGACAAAGCAAAAGGTGCTTATATACGATCCCGTGCCCGATGGTTAGAAGAGGGTGAAAAGAATTCTTAATATTTTCTTAACCTTGAAAAACATAGACAGTTAAGAAAGAAAATTACAAAATTAAACATTAATGGGTCTGTCAAGGAAGCTCATAGAGTTATTAAAGATGAAATCCATATTTTCTACTCAAATCTTTACAAGTCTCGGTTTTCTGCTTCAGATTGTAGTACATTTTTTAATGCCTTGCAGGGTTTTACCCAGAATATCAATTTGGATTTTGAGCAATTCATGGACAAGGATCTTGAGATACAGGAACTAGATCGAGCCTTGTTAAAAATGTCGGATGGCAAATCACCGGGCCTGGATGGTCTGACAAGAATTTTACAAAAATGTTTGGAAAGATATTAGAGAGATGATGTACCATGCCTTTTTAGAATGTATATTAACTGGTAATCTATCAAACACTATGAAGCAAGGAATTATTACTCTAATTCCAAAAACAAAGATTCTCTATTATTGGATAATTGGCGACCAATCACCTTACTATGTAATGATTTTAAAATCCTTGCCCATGTATTTGCTGGCCGCCTTAATGACGGTTTATCAAATTGAATAGATGAGTGCCAATGTGCCTTTGTTAAGGGCAGATCGATTCATAATCGACTTGTACTTGATATGTTAGATTATAGAGATTATGTTGACCAAGGCAGTTTGATACTGCTCCTTGACTTTTACAAGGCTTTTGATATGCTAGAACATGCCTTTCTGTTGAAAGCCTTGGCTTTTTTAGGTTTTGGTAACAAATTTTATTATGGTCCAATTGCTTTATAGAGATATTTACAGTACTGTTTCCTTAACCCTGGTATGACTTCTAGATTTAGAGTGCTGCGTGGTATCCGGCAAGGGTGCCCTGTGTCCCCCAAATTGTTTATTTTAGTGACTCAATTGTTAGTTCTTCAAATTAAAAATTGTAATTTGCTAGAAGGTATTGATATATTCGGTACAGAATTCAGGCTAAGTCAGTTTGCAGACGACACTGCGGTTTTTCTTAAAAATAGTTCCATGGTTCAGATTGCTCTTAACCAAATTTCATTATTTTCCAGGGCCTCAGGTTTAACTTTAAACATAAATAAATGTGAGATTCTTCCCCTACATTCATGTCAACACAAAAATATTTCTTCAGTCGAAGTTGAAAATGAAGTTAAATACTTAGGAGTGCTTTTCTCTAAAAATGTTATCAGAAGGGAAGATGTTAATGTCGCTGGCAGTTTAGTCGATATGAAAAAAGGCTCGAGTCATTGGTTAACAAGAGACTTGACCATTTTTGGAAGGAACTTATTGTCTAAGACTGAAGGCATATCCAAACTTATCTATCCTTGCCAATCCATGTACATATCACCTCAAAACATTAAGAAAGGCAATTCTATTATTTTCCAATTTTTATGGAGGAATAAAACTCACTATGTGAGAAGATCTCAACTTGTAAAAACATACGACAAAGGTAGAATCAATGCTCTAGATTTTGAAGTAATGATTGGTACATTTAGGAATCAAATGGTTAAAACAGTTTATATCTCATCAAAATTCCTTATGGTATCACATTCCAAACAGTATTTTCAAAAAACTTGGAGGGATTACATTCCTTTTGTCTTGTGATTTTGAGATAAACAAAATTCCAGTTAAACTATCAAAATTCCATAGTCAGGTTCTGCAGTTCTGGAAAATGATCTTTAAACATAACTTCTCTCCTCATGCTTCAACTCTTTGGAACAATGGAACGATATTGTGTGGTAGAAAGTCTATTTTTATAAGGGTGATGGTAACATTTTAAATCATACAGCTTTTGTAGATACATTTAATTTTGAGTGTAGAATCTTTAAAAAGTCTGTAAAGCTATCCCTGTTCCGCTGCTTCACCTTATAAAAAAACACATTGCATTGTTTTAATTTTAACATATCACTTCCAACCCTCAAGTTACAAGACATTAGTTTAAATGACCCCAAATGTAATAACAAGTTAACTAATTATTGTTTTAGACAAATTATTCATGCTGACTTTACCAGATCCTCTTTTAAGATCTTGCCCAATCACAATGATCTTTCTGTTTATACAAAGGCCTATTCTAAATTTATTAAAAGGTCTGTATCTCCTAAAATAAAAGAGACTCATTTCAAGATTATCACATTTACCCAGTGGGCAACTTAAAAGACGATTTAAATTTGAAGTTGAATCTTGTACATTTTGTAACATTGAAGATGAGTCACTAGATAATTTATTTTTCTATTGTCGTTACACTCAACAGTTTTGGTCTGATGTCAATAGTTGGCTTAATCTTAAAATGAAAATTCAACCTGTGAACATATCTCATATATTGTATTACATGGACAATTTAGACTTGTAGATGCTGAAACTGTTGTTAATGTTGTTCTAATGTTAGCCAAATATCACATCCACTGTAGTAAGTGGAGAGGGAATAAACCCTCTTTTCCCTGTTTCATCAACAAATTAAAATTATATTATAGCTCTTTAACACTACTTAAGAAATATAAATCTGACAGAACGACCTCCTATTTGATTTCCAAGTTTCTTTTAACTATTGCTCATTGTTTTCTATTGTATATTGTAAATTGTAAGTGAAGGTTATTTATTCAAGTGCCTTTGCCCCCTAGCTTGGTTATTTGAGTCCATGTATATGTTTAAGTAAAAAAAGTTAGTTGGTGCTCCAGTATAATTGGTCCGTCTGAAACGTTCCGCAATTAAATGCGTCAAATGTTTGTTTTTTTACGCGCTAATTTTTCTGTGGTTAATTAATCGTAATTAACGCGTTAAAGTCCTGGCCCTAGTACGTACCCTAACACTGCATCCAAAAAAACACTGCTATGGATGTCTATCTTTAAAGTTTTCAGAGTTCAAGATGAATTCATTCATATTGTGTAGAATCCTGTTGGAGAGTATACATGATTGTGTTCTTTTGATACTAACAAGTTTTTCTGACCATTTGGACAAACAACCTTTTCATGGCTGTCCTTTTTCTGTGTTGATTTTCTATTCATCCTTTTTAGTTCAGTCAAATACAGGAAAACTTAAATTCATAATTAGACAATTATCACGAAAGCCACATGTTTAACACAAATATCCACTCTTTTGCTGACAATATAATTTAGACTTTATTACATCACACACATTTTCCAGAACAAGCATTTCTTCTTTTCAGCAAAGCAAACCTCCGCTCTTGCTCTGATCGTCCGCACATTTACTAAGCAACAGACTCACAGCGACAAGTGGGATTTTATTTTAGCAGCAAAATCTCTTGTTTTTGAATCAACAGTGCATAGCGTTTAGTATAACCATGTTACTATTAAAGACTCAATTCGGGACTTTTCGGAGTGGCACAGACTTGAAATATTTAAATAGGATCCTTTCTCCATTACATATTAGTGATAATTACCTGCATCATTGTATTAATGTAATCGCTTGGAGAAAAAAAAATCTGGGGTACCTAACTTTCAAACAACAAAAATAGAACTACCCGCATGTATCAAATCCATGTAACTAGTTCCTCACTGTCAAAACAGTTTTCAATCATTGTCACACGTATGTAGTTTGTCTTCGTCTTTAGATCTGCATTTTACGGCAAAAAAGTGAAAAAGAGAGGAACGCCATCGCTCAGCCAATCAGCTCTCACCGTCTCAAAGTTGGGTACCCCAGCTTTAAATCTTGGCCGCGCATCGTGAGCGGCATATAGGAACATCGCACCTCCGTCAGCGGTGGGAAATGGAAGGATGGACATAGGTTTGGACGACATTTAGAATCAACACAGGCTCCATGGATGTTCTCTGTTGACTTCTACTGCACTAAACGCACTAGACGTCCCATGCAGATAAGTTACGACTGTTTTTGTGAGTGGACAGCTCTGGTTCAGTTCCGTGGCCGTGGGGAGGACAGCAGAGGGGGCAGCAGGTTGAGTGCAGGCCGGTGCTCCTGCAGACCCAGAGCCACCAGAGCTCCTGCCAACAGGGAGGTGACCCGGGGCAGGACGGGGCCATGGGCGGGCATCACCTGCAGCCACAGCAAGTGTTACTCACAACGAGGAGTCAATCTGGGATAATCATGGACTCAGTCTGTAATGTTCATAGGGACATCAAATGAGTAACATAATTTTTGCCTCCTGAAAAATATTGCCAGAATAGAAGTATAGTGTCTAAAGAAGATTCCTATCCTGCATTTGTCTCAAGGAGGTTAGACTACTGTAACAGCTGTCACTGGTCTCTCCAAAATAGCAGAAAAACATCTGCAGTATATTCAAAATACTGCAGCTCGAGTTCTGACTAGAACCTGGAGGTACGATCACGTTAGTCCAGTCCTCAGGTCTCTACACTGTGGCTCAGAATTGACATTAAAACAGCTCTGCTTGTGTACAAGTCTATCCATGGCCTTGCACCAAAATACATTAGTGACATGTTAGTCCCATTTGAACCAACTCAGACTCTGAGGAGCACAGGGACTGGACTCTGGCTGGTACCCAGAGTCAGACTCAGAATTAAACATGGGGAGGCAGCATTTCAGATTCATGAGTCTGGAAAATGTGAGACAGGCTTCTTCTTTGACAATGAAATTCAGGTTGAAAACAGTTCCGTTTAGCTGTGCAATGTACTGTGATTGCATGATTGTTTTGTTAAGCACTTAAGAGTTGCCTTTTGTATGAACTGTACAATACAAGTAAACTAGCGTTGCCATGAGACCATGATAGTGTTGACTTCGAAGTGCTTATAATGGTTATTGGTTGGATGGATAGCAGTGGGTGATTGTCAGGTCATCTGCACTTTGATTTGAATACATGTGTGAAACTGACAGAACACAGACCTTTTCTACTTTGTGACAGTGAATGAGTCCGTCAGGGCCGATGTAAAACGTGGAGAAGGCGTCCAAGGACCTGAGAACGACATGCTTTAGAAAATGGGTTCTGAAAATCATTAATTTCATTTGGTTTGTTTTGAGGGGGAACTTAAGCCTAGCGTACATCGGACTGGCAACTGATATATCCGTCGCATATGAGTTGCTGCCCCGCACACATCGACAATCTGACGAAAACGGGCAACTCCTAGAAGCAGACCAGTCTCGGGAATAACAGCGCGTACATCGACAGCAACTGGCCTCAACTACAGTGTGTTTTCTGACATAAACTGTTGCGGGCTCGCAATACATGCAATACACACACGCTGTCGGAGCGGCGCATGGAGCGCGCACATCGGGTCATATCTCTGAAACTGAGGACAACTAGTTGCCGAAAAGTAGAACACGGGCAACTGACTGAAACTGGAGACCGACTGTTCATCTCCAGTTGTAAGAGCGCGCACATCGACCGATTTCGGCAACTGATCATCTCCCACCATCTCCTCTCAGTTGCCAAAAGCCGCCTTGCAACTAGTTGTCCCCAGTTTGTCTGTCGATGTACGCTAGGCTTTAAACTGCACGTGCATATCTCTTGATATGTAGATAAAGTGATAGTCATGGTCCCCTGTAACTGCACTGTTAAATGTCTATTGAATTACCGTTTGCACCGTGAGCCAAACCAAATTCCTCGTTTGTGACTTCCTGTTACTTACAATGGCAATTATTAAATTAATTGTGATTCACCTGAAGAGCTGGGTCTTGTCCTTGAGGTAAAAGCGCAGCAGCAGACTGTGGATGGGCAGACCAAGCAGCCTCCAGCGGGCCTTCACCGAGCCGTCCTCTGGGTGTTTGGTGAGCTTCAGCACCTCCAGGCGTGTGTCGGCATAGTAACACTGACACAGCAACCTCCACATGGTCAGGCTCAGCTGGTACAGCACCCGGCCTCTGGAAGCAACAAATGAAAACACACACACAGACAGACATGATCAATTAAGACTGAGTTTGCGACAAGTTTAAAAGCTTTCATTGTCTTCAGATTTTACATAATGTTCCAGACTTTATTCCTTGATTATGAAAGCATGTTTGTTGAGGTCTAAAAAAAACCTTCTGTTAACGCCTTGAAACCACAGCTTAGAAAAGTGTACCTGGTTTTGGTATTCAAAATACCATTGACAAACTCCACGTCCAGGGAATACATGCTGTAGTCGTGGTTCTTCCGAAAGAAATTTGGGAGCTGTAAACAAGCAAAAAAAAGATTTGTCTTTCATTACTTGCCTTTTCATCATCATCATGTTTCAAGTCAAATAGAGAGTTGAATGTATGTTTACAAGAACAGTGAAAAATCAACACAAATCTAAATTTTAACCTGCAGATTTTTCTCATCATGAAGGTGGGTGGCATTTACAGCTGAAATGTGATCAGGTGTATATCTATATAGTGCTTCAGAGCTCATGATGCTAAAGTCCAGAATTGAGTCGTGTGTATATGAAGAAAGTACCTCTGTCCTGAGGCGCTCATAGATGAGGGCCAGCTTCTGCTCCTCCTCACTGTCTCCTGTAGGAGGCGCCTGCAGCTGCTCCAAGGGGCTGCACAGGGTGGAGTGCCGCAGAGGCAAAGGCTTCAGTCCAGACACATGCTGCGTCTTACACAACGCCTCGACAGGGGGGCAGTGAAAGCAGTAAAAGTGAGATCCATGAACAAATGGAGCGGGACATTTCTCTGCTTCAAACAGACTCCTGAAGCTGCTGTGCTCCTGTATTACAGTCCCAGTGTGGGAGGTCCTGTGGCAGCTCCTGGTCCCCACACTGATGTCATCCACTCCACTGCCATCCACCAGAGTCAGAGGGAAGGACAGAGAGGAGGGGATATCCAGCATCTGCCCACTGCGCCGCACCACCAGACACACGCTAAGAGATTCCACCCACTGCTGCTCATGGCCGCTGGCTTGCTCCGGGGCCGGGGGGGTGTGGTGGGGCAGGGCCAGGCGCTTGTTGCTCTGGTAGCGGAGGCTGTTGGGCGGAGACAGGGCCCATGATGCACTGCTCAGGGGCCGCAGCATCGGCCTGCTGAGGGCCCCATGCTGAGGAAAAAGACAACATGCTTCAGTGTTGGCTTTATCACCCTGAATGAAATGGGCTCATCATCTCTCTTCTTAGACACTTCTCTTTCAGTCTACTCTACACTCAAGAGATACATTACTACAGTAGTCACAGCCGCCTTGCGATTTATCCCAGTCAGACATAGTTTAGACATTTCTTGGTCTCATTAACAGCTGACACTAAGGCCATGATGCCGTCCCCCTTACTTTGTGGATATTTGGATGTTGGCTCTTGACAGGCTGACTTCTGCCTTGGCTGCGGACACAGGCAATCCAGAAGGCCACGCCCCCTCTGTTCACAGCCATTCAGCAGCACAGGGCTCCGGGCGTCAAGTCAGTCACAGAGCATGCCACCCTCTGGGGTCAGCTTCACGCCACACACCGTAAGTATGACGACCACCACCTGTCCAGACTCTGGAAATATGAGAGAATGTTGAGGTTTTGATTTTTACATTAAACTATTAAACTAAAAATATGTACAATAGGTCTGGCACGCGCCTCCTGTTCGGCAACCCCGCTCCCATCTCTGTGTGGAGTGAGAGGACAAGTGCCCAAAAATAATAACAATTGTAAACTGCTTTGTGACTCTGGTCTGTGAAAGGCGGTATATAAATAAAGATTACTTACTTACTTACTTACTATTAATCAAAGCAACATTTAGGGCTGAATTCAGACCTAAATATACTTTTTTTTTTTCAAACACAATTGGAAAAATATAGTGGATGAGGCAAATTAATATTGAGCTCCAACCCCTCTGATCATGAATGTATTAACCCATTTAAGCCCAATTTTTTTTTAAATATGAAAATATCCAAATCATGTTTCACTGAGAACCCTTTGACATAATCAATAACTGTTTTGTTTTTTTAATATTGGAAAGTAGGTGAAAATGTGTGTTTTGTGACCGGTCACAATTGTGACCAGTGGGATAATGTGTTGTATGCTCAATCGAAGGTGCTGAAAGTGCAAGAGTTCTGTATTCTGACAGCAATGACTGATCAGGAATTTGGGCTTTACAACACTGATATGAAGACTAAGACCAACATACCAAATATGTTCACATTGTTTAATTAAATGTAACTTGCAACAGCATCACTTTAGTGCAACATGTATGTATTTTTAACTAAAGTGCAACATTTTTTATTGTACTTTGTCAATATCACATTTTAGTGCAACATTCACTAAACATTCCTCTCATGTGATTCAGTCAATGTCCCTATAAAACATATCTAAGTAGATTAGGGGCAGGTACAATATTCTGAACAAAGTGCTTGATTTGTTAGCTATTATGCAAATATTTTTGCATTCTAATCCATCAGACATATTTACAGTTATTACAGCAATAGAACATAAAAATATAATTCTGATTCGAAACCTGCATGTGGATGACATAAACAACAAATGATCTGTAACTTCATCTGTCAGTCCCACTGCTGTGCAATATGTCTACTCAGTTGACCTTTTCCAAGAACTACTGTCCATGGTATTTCTTGAAACACTCAATGTGCAGTGAAGCATTGCATTTCTCACATGCGAAGGTGGTGCGTTTATCACAAAGACGACATCTGAGGAACCGATTCCCTGTGTTGATTGGCCAGTGAGAGTCTTGGTCATATCTTGCCTGATCTTGTACAGAAGCAGCCAGAAGTGATCTCCTTCCATGAGATAGTGGCTTTGTGCCAAACTTTTGCATGAGAGACTGTGCCACTACTCGTGAGAAGGTGAGCAGGTCAATGGTCCCTCCCATAACATCTCTGTAAAAGTAAAAGCTGTTAACAAGTGCACTGTTGAGAGACCATGCAAAGATGGGCCACCACCACTTCTTGGACCTAATCGTGATGCTATATCGTGAGGCTTGTTGGTCATGAAGGTCTACACCTCCCATGTGCTCATTATATAGCTTGATGCATTGTGGTTGTTGGACTTGGTCAAAGGCACGTCGCTCTTTGTTCCATCGTTTGACAACTGTCTCAGAATAGTTCTTCTCCATGTTTGTAGCCATGGTGACAATGTTGTTGTCCTTCCAGCGAACCAGCAGCTTCTCTCCTTGTGTTAGAACTTCAGAGCTTCCTCGGGGTAAGCGCATGAATTCTTTCTTTGGTTTGAAAGGAATGTCAAAGAGACGGTTTTCCCTCATTGTCCCACAGCTCCCATATCCTCTCTTCGTCATCTCATCCAAAAGTGAAAGGGAAGTAAAGAGGTTGTCGTGGTGGAATTTACAACCTTGAGGCACCTCACCTTGCTCTGCAAGACCGAGAACGACACTAGGCCCCTGACCTAACCCAGTCTCTGGGAGGAGTGTGTGGCGTCCTCCATATGGCTCCATATGATGCATGTACCCAGTGGATGAGGCTAGACTCCAGATTTTATACCCAAAACGGATTGGTTTGCCTCTAATAAATTGCTTGCATCCATGGCGGCCATAATATCGTATCATGCTTTCATCCACGGACAGCCATTCTGGATATGGCATGACTTTATAGGACTTGTTGAGCTCGGTGAAGATGGGCCTAACCTTGAAAAATGGATCGTCAGTGATTTTTGTGTTGTCAGCAAAATGTAGAGAGGCCATTATTTCATCAAATCTATTTCGCCGCATTGCATTTGAAATGCTTTCATTATGCACATCACTGTCAAGTGACCAGTGCATACGTCTTCTTGGAACAGTGCTGTAGCCCGCAGCCACAAGGATCCCATAGAATGTAAGGAGCTCGTCCATACTCATATCCAGTTGCTTGCCCTTGGTTTGGGTGGCATATAGGTTGGACATTTCAAGGGTGATGTCTCTTAGGGTGGGTGGATACATTAGTAGGAAAACCTTCATTGGATCAGGAGAGCTTTGTTTGACACATTCAGCGGCATTAGGGCTGTATACTATGTACTCAGGAATGCTTGCAGCAGCTGGCCTCTTTGATCGTTTGAAGACTCTGTCTGGGGCTGGGCGATATGGCAAAAAAGTAAAATCTCGATTTTATTTCCTGCTTTGGACGATGTCGATTTTAAATCGATTTTCATTAAAGTCACTCAAGACAGACTTTGCCCTTAAAATATTTTGTATCTTCCCGCTCAATATTTAAGTTTAAAAACTATTTTTTTATTTGTTTCCCCCAATACATATTATAAAAGTCTTGTACAGACTGTGCTGATATCGCAAGTATAATTGATGTGCTGCTGGAACTCTCACAATATCCCTCATTCGATTTCACGATTTTCACATTTTTCACGAATTCGATTTTTTCAAAAGCCGATTAATTGCCAAAATTCGATTTATTGCCCAGCCCTAACTCTGTCTTTATTTTTGACCACCTCTAGTTGTGCCCTTGGCCCTTCTGACATGGCCCTATGGTTTCTAAAGGAGGTTGTAGGTTCCTCAGACTGGCCCCTCCGGCGGCTAGAGGACCTCAGAGGTTCTTTAGACTTGTTCTTCTGGTGGCTGGAAAACCTTGATTCTTCAGCAGTCGAGAGTGATGGAGAAGGGGTGGTGGGAAGAGTTTGGCCATCAGCACTGGTGCTGTTGTTTCTGTCTAGATCTTTATGTTTGACAACCTCTAGTTGTGCCCTTTGCCCTTCTGACATGTACCTCTGGCTGCTAGAGGACCTTTGATTTGTAGCCTTGCCTGTCCAACGGCTAGAGGACCTTGAAGGTTCCTCAGATTGGCCCCTCTGGCGGCTAGAGGACCTCAGAGGTTCTTTAGACTTGTTCCTGGAGAACCTTAGCTCTTCAGCAGTTGAGGGTGGAGGAGAAGGGGTGGTGCGGGGAGTTAGGCCATTAGCACTGATGTTGTTTCTGTCTTGAGCTTTCTTTTTGATCATCTGTATTTTTGCCGTTGGTTCATGTGGCTGCCTGGCATGGCTCCTAGAGGCCCCGTCTACTCTGCACTCAACAGTGCCAGGTGGTAAGGGAGGGCTAGTGCAGGGGGGAGGGGGAGGTCATCAATGTTGTTCTTGTCATCATCTGTTCTCATAAGTTCAGCATATGCATTCAACATCCGGGTAGGCAAATGACCTATCTCGCCTTCATAGTCCATATCTGACCCATCACTGTCACAATCACTGAGGATGGCATCTTTCTCATTTTGAGGTATAACTGCAATGTTGCATGCCTTGTCATGCCCATCACCATAATCCAACATATCCAGAACTTCACTTAAAGTTAATCTAAAAGAAAGAAACAAGTAAAAGTTAGACACAACAAGAATTTTGTATGTATAGAGGTATGTGTGTACATGTTTTCCCATCGGTCACTATTGTGACCGTTCACACATTTACTCATTCTGTGAACACCCCAAACCAATTTGAGTAATTGTAAATGCAAAAGTCATTACTAGACACCCTAAACATCATGTGTACTAAAAAGCTTTGTCCTATATTTATTTTAACATACTTTACAAACCTTTTGTTTGGAAGCTTTCTGGCAGCCATCTTCCTCTCGAGGTGCAACCAGGAAGTAAACAGCTCTGGTCATGTGACAATATTCACAAAAAAATGTGACACTGCACACATTTCATCCAAACATTCTATTATTTCAATATTCAGGGAAAATACATTGAGAAATCACTCAATAACAATTTTAGAGCCTTATAATTAGAAAAAAAATTACGGTCACTATTGTGACCGATGGGATTAAATGGGTTAATCAAGAAAAGATTAATAAATCAATACGTGATTAATACAGCCACAAATATATATTGTGATGCGATATATGGAAATAGGCATATTAGAGAGGCGTTTCTTGGATGACTATTTATGATAAATAACTCAAAGGTCACATTTTCAGTCACACAATTTTAAAACATACAGCATCCATCTACATTCTCCCCTTCAATGATAGCGATGATAACGTAGGAGCGAACATGAATCCATAGATGACAGTCTGGTTCTTCTGTGCTCCAGACCAAGTCATGGATCTGCCAACAGCACATGACCAGCAGAGACTGACCACAAGCTTACAATCAACAAACAAGACTGGCTTCACTGAGCTTATTAGGATTCAATTACCTTCACACGAGAGTTTTAGATATGAGCTTTAGATCACACTGCCTCTCTGAAATATTTGTTTCGCCATAGAAAAAACAATTATATATTTAATAGCATTGAAGGACATCTCCCATGACACAAGGATTTTACTTTAAAGTCAGTTGTGTCTCAGACTTTTTTTCCTCATCAACATTGTGCTTTTTGGATCCTGAAGAGCACCTGATTTGTATAACCACTTCAGCACTCACTCTCCCTCTCACATTTAATAGTAGGTTGGAGTTGGTAGCGACTGAAATGAAGTTATGGTTTGGTAATAGCTTTTGAGACAAGTAAAACACTGTCCTTCTATTCTATACTGAACAGACTGTGTGCTAAAACATCCCTAATAAAAGAGTCACAAGAGTGCTTTCTCAAAATAATTTAAACCAGACTTTTAAATCTGACTTCAATTCAAGTGTAACTATTTACATTATGTATTTCTTAGAAAGACATTGAAGAAATGTGATATTCTGACATTCATTGAGCGGCTTTTGAATGATGCAGCTCTGCTTATGAGTTTAATCTACTCTCAACCACCAAAATAAAACATGCATGCTTGAACCCATAACAAAGTCACCAAAAACAGTCGGGCTACTGCAAAGCTAAAGGTCATTAACCCTTATTGAATAATTTGCAATACACTGATTATTTTGCTATCGTGATATATTCTTCATGTACAAGGACTAACGTTTTTAACAAGGTTCATAACCAGTTCTCCTTCAATGTTGACAGCCTTCTGACGAGACTGTTAGCTTAATAGCATTAGCACGTTTTATCATGAAATCCAATGTACTATGCTAGCGGGCTAAGCTAACGAATGTTGACCGGCTAAGCTAACCGTTGAGCTCACCTTAGTTTTGACCCAAAGTGATGCTGTAATTTGACCGTTTACAGACGACCCCTGTGGGAAAGCCTCGTAATTGCTGCCGATCCTCTGGTCAGATGTAGCACAGTGGTTTCACGTAGAGCTGAGGAGCGTGGCTGAATTACACAAGTGTCATGAGAGTCCGTGTCCTTGCGGTTAATGCCAAACACCGCTGTGTCGCCTTCACGGACCCACGATGATCAAACACGCCTCTCCGCTGTGCTGCCTTCACGGACCCACGATGATCAAACACGCCTCTCCGCTGTGCTGCCTTCACGGACCCACGATGATCAAACACGCCTCTCCGCTGTGCTGCCTTCACGGACCCACGATGATCAAACACGCCTCTCCGCTGTGCTGCCTTCATGGCACCGGGACACGCGGAAACATGTACAAGTAAGGGAGAAACCTAAGAGAGAAACGGAAACACAGAGCTAAAATTAGATCTGTGTAGATTTTATAGGTGTCACTTTCACTCATATTCGATTTCCAGGATTATGTCAGTTTGATTTCAAAGGCAGCAACCAACTGAATTATTATATGTAACTACAGTCTATGATTATTACCCGTTAACAGCACTACTTTTAATGAACTACAAAATGAACTACTACCAACGTTTTACGTTTCCTCTAAAATCTATTTTTTTAAATTTAAAGGACAACTCACCCTCAAATCCACTTTTTTTTGCTAATAAACGATTTAAATGAGTGTCCAATAGTGTTGTCTACATATCCTGGTCATAGTTTTTTCACTTTGGTGCAAATTAGTTGAAAGTTAAACTTTCTGCCTAAAACCGTCTGTGAGGCGCCATCTGCTGGCGACCTGTATTACTACATTTGAATTTTGAATCTGGCGCCAACACTGGCACAGAAGTTGGACCTGACGTCTGCAAGTTGGACCTGACGTCAGCAGCCCCCCGCCCAGAGCAATGTAAACGGCCCAGTCTCGTTCACGCCCCCTTCAGTCCTCCAGGCTACGCCCATTTAGAGGAAGATTTGAACAGGAAATGTGAGTGACGTAAGCTCCGAGGAGCGGGGGTGAGAACCACTTTAAATCCTAATTTTCCCACTTAAAAGTGATGGCCACAAGACGCTTCGACTTCATGGGGCTTTCAAATTGTGTTGGTACATGTGTTGAGGCTTCAGGGAATTTGTTTTTGCTAAACTTTGTGGTTAAAGAAATGGAGGATTCAAGCGCCTCCGATGTGCAGCGCGCGTTGACTGATGTCAGGGTGATGTCAAATACGCACCATTTGGAGCTGTGGAACCATAAACTGTGTAACATAGTATGTGGAACATACACTTGGTGTGCTGTGCAAGCGAGCACAGCGAACACTTTCAGTCAAAACACATCAGCTTCACTTGTCCAGAAAGAGGTTTGGCAGGTTTGACAGCGTTTCTACTTGGACATCGGTTTTTTTTTTGTCATTCCAAGCCTCAAGTCTGACTAAACCGTCCCACAGAGACCATGAGGACAATATTTACAGTCTATGGGACAAACACACACATCTGGCGTTAACAGTCCTCTGGCCTCTTAAGAGGCCAGAACTGTTAATGTGATGAGGTCTGTGAAGCGTAGAGGACAGAATTCTGTCCTCTACGCTTCACAGAGGCAGCAGCAGCAGCCGCACCCCTTCTTCCGCTCCACAAGGGGGCGACACTGCACCGCACAACAAGCCGAGCAAACAGCGCCGCACCGGCATTATCCATCCCGGGCCGCGTGACATGTGAGTGCGGCTGTAACAGCCTCAGAAAGTAGCTGTAGACACAGGATTACCCAGACACAAGCCCGCTCACAACATGCCCAAGAAGGCTAAGGAGGAGGCGGAGTGGCAGGACGACGAGGCCCCGCCAGCCGCAGCACCGGGTAATGGCTCTTATGCTAACACGCTAGCATTAAAGCTAACATGATGTCAGCCACAGTGCGACGTTGCAGTTTCAGAACTCACCATACATGTACGGGACACCATATAACATGCAGCACATAGGATGTATCGATTGGGCCGTTCCATACATGTAGATTATGTGATGATCCATGCATGTACAATACATGTACATTATAATTACTTGCATGAATAGATCAGCAGTGCTGGATGGGAACTTCCCTGCACTGACTGAGGAAGGGAGTGTGATGACAATCATATGTATTTATCTTTTGACATCTGCATAGTGTTTTCGTGGACAACCGTATGCATATTTGTTTCTTTGTTATTGCCGTATTGTTTGTCCCAACAGAAAGCCTCAAAAAAGTAAACCGATAATAACAAATCAGACCACAAAATGCTGTCTTCATCTTTATAAGAAAACATGTCATGAAAGTGCCCTGGAAGTCTCGAGCTAACAGTACATGATGTGAAAACTAGTAATTGAACCCGACTGTTTTTAGCGAGGAACTAGTGACATGGTTGTGGTTCGGTACCCCAGCTTTAACCAGAAACTGACAGGGATGTCAAAATTCTTTTTGGAATTATGGCCTCTAACAACATATTATTTTGATTAAAGTTATTTGAAATAGTGCTTTGTTTTGAGACATTAAAACATGTGCCTAGGTTTACTAGTGCCTAAGTGTTTATTGCGATTATAAATACCTCTTGACACTCGTATTATTATAATTATTATTGTGAGCAGATATGCTTCCATGGGACCTTTCAGTTAATATATACAGTCTATGGTTCCATATGGCGATAACACATTCCCATGTGTAGAGGCTTTTGCTGACCTCTGCACTGAATAATGAGGGCCTCTGGACAATGCTGGCACAGAGCTGACCAGCAGGGCCGTTTTTATAATACTGAGGTCCAAAATGTGTGTGTGTAATATATATATATATAATTATATATATATAATTATATATATATATATATATATATATATATATTATATGAAATTACTAGTCAACGTTTACCAGAGTGAAAACGTAGTCCCCTGAAGAGAATGAGTGACAAATGATGCCATAAAAATGTGAGGGGTCCTTATAATGGACTGTGAGTGACAGAATATGAGAAAAAAAAAATCACTTTGTACATGTAAAAAAAAATTAGGAAAATCCTGATTTAACTTGTCAAGATCAGAAGTGAATCTAGAACTGTTTGGACCCGATGAACCTCAATACTGCGGCCATCATGACTAATCCAGACTCTACTCTGTACATGAATCATAAATACTATACTATACTATACTATATTACACTACTATACCATACTGTATTACTCTTCAGTCATTTTGTTGAACTACCAAGATAGAATTAACTATGTTTGTTTATTCACAGAAAAAACTGTGAAGAAAGGAAAGAAAAATAAGAAGGACAAAAAAAGCGTAAGTCTTCTTCCCACTATCCCATAATGATACTTTTTCTATTTCTTCCTTTAGACTGAAAGCCTTTGATGGATCCCACATTGTTTCCCTATATCCTCTGGACCTCCATTCCATTCAACTGTTCAAATTTGGGCTGAAGCTAACAATTTTTTTGATCATTTGATTTCATCCAGCGATTATTCGGCACATGTATTGATTACTGTGTTTATTAAGAACACAAATGTATTATTTATCTAAGTTTGAGCTAAACTGAAGCTGAAGTGCAGCCATCGGAAAACATCCTGTGGAGACAAGACATTTACATTTAAATTGTTCATTTGCGAAAAAAAAACAGAAAAGTGACAATGCCTGATATATTTTAGTGCCATACAAATCCAGTTTCACCTCTTTCGCAAATTCTTTCAAAGGTATAACCAATAACAGATCCTGAAGATCGGAGCCCGAAGACTGCAACTATTTGACAAATTTGTTAAAACAAAGATATTCGTGTTTCCATGCACTCCAAAAACAAGAAAAATATCTACAATTAGAGGAAATATACTTTATACATAAATTATAATGATTTTGAGAAAAAGTTGTATCTTGAGTATCTTCAGCCTGCACGAGTAAAAATGTTTAAAAAAAGTGTTATTGGATAAATACACTAAAATCAAGTGAATTACACTTACATATTTTCACTTCTTGCAGTGTGTAGGAATTTCTTCTGCTTATGCCTTAAAACACAACTTTCAGCCTATTCATGCTTCAAAGTCTGTTAGAGAAGCTAATGATTCATCAATTACTAAAATAGTTGTTGATAATTGGAAAAAAAACTGCAGTTAATTGCAATAATTACATCTTAAGTTAAAATAGAGCTTTACAATTGTGCTTCGACACTTTGTCTTTACAAAGAGGGTTTCCTTCTCAACCAATATGAAAAAAACATATTTTTTGCCCTTACCTGTTATTAATCAAGTTTGTCTATTGTTTGGAAGGTTTGACAATAAAACGGTTATTTTGTAACACATCTTCTCGTCCCTTTTAGTCAAATTCAATGTTGTTTTGTTTAGTTCTTTGAGGATCTTGCCACAGAAAGCCAACCAGACAAGGCCGAGGACGGTCCTGCTAAAGAAGCGCAAGGGAAGCATGGAAAGGTGAACATATTCAAAACTTCTCTAATACTGCTTTGGTTGAATTATAAATACTGTTTAGAATTTAATAATAGAGATGGAAATAGAAATAATATGAATTGTGTGCACTTTTTTTCAGCCTCAGAAAAAAAAGAAAGACCGGCGGAAAGGCAAAGGGGGTGACGACGATGATGAGGAGGATGAAGACGTCACACTGAAGCTGGAGAAACTGTCAGTCCAGCCCAGCGATGAAGACGAGGAGGAGACGGGTCAGTGTGTCCTCCTCAGTCTGCATTTACTCGCATGTCATTCACAGCAGGATTATTTTTATATTTTCTTTTTTGGAGCAAATCTTTGTGCACGGACTTGTGACACAGTTTATCCAGCAGAGGGCGCAGAAAACCCAGCGATGTGACGCCTAGTTCAGGGGAGCTCAAACTTCTGGTGGTACAAAACTATTATGAATTAATGAAAACAAAATGAATCAATTAAGATACTTCTGAATATTCTTTGGTTTTCCCTGGTCTAGTAGTTTTATCCATAGGCCGTATATTAGGGGTGGAATGACAGAGTGTGAAGTCACCATATTGTTTGCTGAAGACGAGGCATAAGCTAGCTCGAGCCATTCATCCATCTATCCATTTTCTTCCACTTCATCCATTGCCGGGTTGCGGGGGCAGCAGTCTAAGCAGAGACGCCCAGACTCTTATTTGGGCATTTGTTTCTGAAAGTGTTACTAAGGAGGTTGCTACGGCAAGCTTGAGTTTCCCCCGCAAATGAAGGCTGACTTGGCTCATATCTGGATTGGGTCTCATTGAGCATTGTTCTGCAGTTTGCAAAATACACTTTAAAATGGTTTCTTACAATATAAAGAGAAAATTACAATGTTGTTCAAAAGTTAATTTACTTCTGTAATTCAGCTTACAATGTGACACTAATAGCAAACTCTTTACACACAGTGAGATACAGCAAGCTTTTGTCTGTTCTAATGTTGATGATTGTTTCACAGCAAATAAAATGTCTCAGAAAATTTAAATATTTAGTTAGCTGTGGTTTGACGGGAGAATCAGACCCTTCCCTGGAATCCCTTCATCTTTGGCATCCGCAAATCTTGAAGGCAAAATAATGAGATTGTTTCCAGGAAAGAGCTGGTGCATCTACATTTCAAATCCACTTGAAGGGAGTGTGTTTTCTTTATAATACTTCCATATTCAAATGAAAATCTGATGCAAACTGTTATAAAACACTAACACTGTGTTTCTTCTGTGCAGTTGCTGCTCCTAAAGGCAACAAGAAGAACAAGGTACGTCAAAAAGCAAATGTCTTTTATTTTGCTTTACAATAATTTATTAACTTTTGATGTTGTTTTGTTTAATTGTATTTTTAATCTGTATCTCTTTGTGGACATGTAAAGATGCAACATAAATATAATGTTTTGTTGGTTTGAGTATATTCAGATGGGGTGTTCTATACTTGTTACAATAATATTACTTACAATACTTATGTTTAGTTTACATCAGGTTGTCAAGCAAGACATGTTTCACAACAATATTTTCAGTTATATTTTATAAACACATGGAATAAAATCCACCTGGAAGTGTTAAATCCATAGTATAAATCCATTTTAAGCTGTATCTTTTATAATATGGTTATTTTTGCTTTTAGGGTGGGAACATCTTTGCAGCTCTGAGCCAGGGCCAGAGTGACGAAGAGGAAGAGGACGACGACTCGGAAGAAGAGAAGGTTGTCAGAAAGGTAATTTTTTGAATGGTCCACTGATAAACCTCCTCTGAGCCTTTTTTATCACCTTACATATTTGCTTATGAAGAAACTGAATCTGTTTTTTTTTTTTATACTTACACATTCAATATATTTTCTCCTTTTCTCATTCATATTTTGACATGTTTCTTTGGGACTTAAAACACCACAATATACTCTTTTGTCTGACCTCTAAAATCAAAAACAGGTTTTTCCTATTATGTGTTTGAAATTTAAAATGATAAGAGTCTCATATGAGTCATACATTAAAGGGACACGCTGTAATTTTTAGTGCCATCTAGCGTTGAGATCTTATATCGTTGTCCAAGGTACTACAGAAGCCTTTGTGTTGAGGAGCACTGTCTTTGACTCAAAGACAGTGCTCCTCAACTCAGTCATTCACCAGACTGCCAAGGAAAGAATACTTTAGTTTGGAGAGATCCGGTCATTTATCAAACGTCTCGGGCTCTTGACAGTTGCGTGGAGGTGACATGTAAACCAGACCACGTTCAGACGCGGCACCCGCTGCACAGAGGCTGCACTGAGTTTTACCATGGATCTATTATAATATATAGTTTTACAAACGTGATGTGAAGAGAAGAGATGCATGGAGGAATAACATCTGTGGGAGCTTAAAACTACGGTGATCAAAGAAGCAAGAGATATATACACAGCCGCGGCAGGACATGGCAAGCTCATGTTAGGGCGCTGTGGCTAACGCTAAAACTATCTGCATCACGGTAAGAAAACAGAACATTCACTCACGCTTAGAGGTGCAACGGTTCACTGATCCGTGATCCGTTCGGTTCAACGTCTTCGGTTCGGTACAGACGTTATCCGCGGTTTGATTTATGAAAAAAAAGTTGTGCGCATGTTGTTCAGTCCACACACAGCGTGGTCACGGCAAGCAGAGGAACGGAGATGCTTGAAAGCCCCACGTCATTTAAATCCCCAGTATGAGAGCATTTTGGCTTCACTGTAACTACACTGATAATTAGTATTCGACAACTGTCACGATGTGTAAACACTGTGGCACAAGGAAGACATGTGAAAAAATGCGTCTCAACGACCGCTTATTGCCGCGGCATTTACCATGAACCAGAACCATGGTTCTTTTATATAACTGTGATCCTCCATGGTTCTTTTATATAACTGTGATCCTCCATGGTTCTTCTACATGAAAACTGAACAAAGAATTCTGAACATCTGCGCTGAGGTACTTATGTATATACTGAACCTATATCCATAGTCAGATCCTCTGCAGATGTGTCCTATAATGTGCAATTCATGATAATGGCTTCTTCCGGGTTTGTGTGCATAAAACATTCTTTTTTTCATTAAAACGTTAACAAATCATTCTGAAAACCTCCGTGCATGTTTATTAATAACATATATGTATAATGTGTTCTCTGATTAACATTTCAAAGTGTTACGGAAACGTAGGTGTAGACCAATCAGAAAGGAAGGGGGAGGGAGCTTGTGTCGTTTTTTTCAAATCAAGTACCTCTCTCTCTCTTTCTGACAAACTCCAGACAATCACTTTAAATTCTAAGCCTATGAAAACAATAAAAAAAACATGGTGGAGGTAAATATTCTTAAAGTCACATTTGTTATTGGTTAACATGTTTTTCATATGGAGCAGCTGTAAAAATTACACAGGGTGGCTTTAAAGAAGTTACTGCACTATTCACCGCACATTTTATTTTATATAGCCCTAAATAACAACAGTAGTTATCTCGGGGACTTTACAAAGCTGTCGATTCGCCAACACAGATCAGAGAATCAAACACCGGAAAAGCAGTGATAAAAAACAGGCATTGCTCCATGAGGGCCAGATGACCAATGCTCATAAATGTTAAATGTCCATAAATGCACCTGAACCACACCAGCCACATCTGCAGGTTTTCATGTTGCCAGCAGCTGATGGAGCTGAGCAAAGCTATTAGACAACTGTTTCAACTGGTCACATGATCTGATCGTGTTTTAACGCACAGTTGACTCATGAGTCGTGACGGACAAAGCTTTAATGACACGAAGGCAAATGAAACAAGGGACTCTCAGGAGGCAAACGTTCTCATTTCCCTTGTGCTTACCTTTACTGTTACAGGAAGATTGTACTTTTGCTGTGTTTTGTTCTGCCTAAGTCGTGTGTGTGTCTTCATTACAGGATGTTGAGAAGGGCAAGAAGAAAACTGACAAGAAACCGGATAACAAGCAGGCAAAGGTTGGTTTGTTAAAGATCTGGCTTTCATACTCATCTATCTATTCTATCACCAACGCGTGAAAGAATAATGTGAAGCGTGAGTGTCCAAAAAAACGCTGTATGAAAGTGATCATTATTATTATAAGGGCATTGCACATTTAGTCACAATTACTGCAGTTTTCAAGTTGTTCGCAAAGACAACAACTGCAGAAATGTGACAAGATCCTGTAGTGGGGAGCTGTTCTCTTGACTTCAATTTATTTTGACTAAACTGGTGGTAGTCATCTTTTATTTTCTGTATAAAATATTTTGTGCTTGTTTGATCTGTAAACACCAGACGTTTTCTCAAAGTTTAACTTAATTCAAGCATTTTCTTAGTAACATTTTACAGTGAATCCATTCCTCTGAAAAATGTGTGTGAATCTTGTCTGAGCATTTGTGTATGTGACACAGTATGCCCGCTGTAAAGAGCTTTTCTTGTACTAAATTGTAGGTGTGTTGTATAATTACTCCTGTTTCATCTGCACTCATTTTAAAAGGTTTTGTGGTTAATATGAATTCCTGTCTCCCTCCATGTTTGCAGAAAGGCAAAGCTGCTGAGTCCAGTGATGAAGAGGAGGAGAGCGATGGAGACGACACCATGAAGGTAACACTCTGGGCTCTGGCTGCATCCAATTTTCAAAACTCAAAATTGCCTTCTTCATTATGCTTGTCTTTTTTGAGAAGGACTTTTTAATAAACAGAGCAGCTCCACATGGGTGACACAGTGGCCCAGCAGTTAGTTCTCACCTCACGTCACAGTTTACACACCCAGAAGCCATTTTGTGTCAAATAAATGTTTTCTTTTTTCTAGTGATAATGAGGTTTAGAAGCTCCTCTTCTGACCCTGATCAGAAGTCTCCACCCCCACTTCTCAATATCTTGTGTTGCTTTAATCTCTGAAGCTTGGAGTCTTTTGTAGTAGTTTTGGATGAGGTTATTTCTCCTCTGATGGTAAAGCTGCTCCCTCTTCTTGGCTAAGAGTCCTTTTCATGAACTGCAGAGTAGAGATCTTCGCAAAGCGCCACTAAGATGTTATAAATTGAAAATAGAAAACGTGTTTATTTGACATTGCATGTATTCATACTCCTACTAATGAGTGAAGGATAACATTTCAAACATTGACAAATCAAGCTGTATAAAAATACTTTAGATTCCAGCTCGCACCAATGACAATAAGGACCAGAAAGGAGGGTGCTGTTGAATTGGGACGTGGCTTCAGTGTCTGGTCAGTGGTGGAGGAGTGTCTCAGTGTTGTTGTGTTCCATCAGAGCGCAGAGGACGTGATCGCTCAGCAGGCGCAGCAGCAGGAGGAAGACCCCTTTGCCAACCTCAGCAAGAAAGAGAAGAAGAAGAAAAAAAAACTGGTACAGTTTTGAGTTTGGAATTAATTACATATCTGTTGCTATAGACAAGAGTAGTGCCCACACAAACCGTCGGCCCACGCCAGTTATGTGTCTGAGTCTGTGGCAACAGAGGCATGTGGTGCTGATATCCTCATCAGAGACCAGGGGTGAGCTATATCAATTTTTCGATATATCGCGATACTTTCTCCCGCGATTCGATTATAGAATCGATATAGAATCGATCAATATCGATTTTGGAAAAAAAGTGATTTTTTTTTTTGAATTGGTATCAATACTTAATATATGACTACGTTACGCATCTCCATTCCATTTATCATGAAACAAAGTGTATTTTTTCTTTTATTTATGCCATAAATTGGCATATTGTATATTTATGACCAATATATAGATAATCGTCATATTGTGATAAAATCGTTATCGCGATATCGTTATCGTGATAATATCGTTATCGTGATAATATCGTTATCGTGAGCTTTGTATCGTATCGTGAGGTACTCTTAGGTTCCCACCCCTATCAGAGACCATTCTATTTTCTTCTATGAATGCTCTGTGTTTTGGCTGCATGAAAGTGGAGCGGAAAAGATGAGCTTGGATCACGTTATGGGTCTGTGTTTACGCACCTTAGTTAACCGGGCCTGATCCAAGATATTTTGCTGTATTTAGTCGCCTAAAAACAGCCTCATTCTGCTCTATGATTGGAGAATCTTGGAAATTGTAAACATGCATGTTCTTCAGAATATCTTTTTGAACAAAAGTTGCAAAAGATGTATACTTAATATGCAAGTGACTCTCAATCTGTTAATTTGTCATGTCTTAAACAAAAGTATTCTCATAACGATGTGGAGCCTGTTGGACGGAGTGAGACTGATTTGTGTGTTGCAGCTGGAGTACGAGCGGCAGGTGGCCAGTGTGCGTGCTCAGAACGCCATGGAGGGAGACTTCTCCATCTCTCAGGCCGAGCTGTCCTCCAGGCAGGCCATGCTGGAGAATGCCTCCGACATCAAGGTAACGGCCTCAGGACAGAGACACAAGAAATCATGTTGGAGAAGATTGAATAATTATTGATCTTGCATCAAAATAATGTATTCAAACAGAAATGGTGAATATCTGTTTAAGATCATACACAAACAAATGCATACAGCTATGTTCTCTCAACGCTAGTATTTGAGTTTATACAGTGTTGGACAGGGGGTCTTTAGGTGCCATATTTCGCTTTTCTTTTTTCACAGTCCATCCTATGCACATGTGTGATAATAATTTGGTTGATACACAATACAACACTCAAATTGTCACCTCTTTTGGAACAAGTGGATCTCTGCTACTCTGCATGAGAGCCCTCCTCCCCCCACCTGCATGGTGACGTAGAAGTTTGAAGTAAACAAATCAGCGAAAGTTAACTGTACAATTAGTTAACAGTGACATACAGCGATTAGCGCGTTATTTGCATTGTACTTACAGACCCCTTTATTTTGTTGGAATAACACCAGGTTTCCAGATCAGCTTTTGAGTAGGTCCCATTTATTTTATTTTATTAGTTTAGTTGAAAGGGACATTGTGCATTAATAAACATTTCTGTAAATGCACCTGAATTAGCCAAGCAGGCTATTTTTCATCTGCAGTCCCTGGACAGGTGTACATAGTCTCCCTAAAGATAAAAGTCATACAAATGAGTATGTTTCAAGCATCGGTGCATATCATGATTTGAAACGACTAATTTCTGTGCCTCTCGAGAATGAAAAAGCGAGATCCCTCTCTGGTTGGTGCTTTCAGACCAAAAGCTTCAAAAAGCTTTTGACGCGCGTCAAATGAAGCCGGGTTATTTTTGACAGTTTGGTGCTTGAAGCTCTTGACGCCCCTGACGTCGGTGGGAGGAGCTTCTCTGTTGCCGGTAGTCAAGACAACGGTGGATTGTCCAGAGAGCAGCGAGCCCAAGTCAGACTTGGAAATTGCTTTGGCTCAGTGCAACAGTCAGAGAGAGATAATAAAAAATAAAGAATAAAAAACACTTCTAAGGAAGTAATTTAAATTTAAAATATAGTTAGTTACTATTTACAATATACAAGTGCACATGGTGCACACAATGTAAGGTGACATACAGTGCCTTGCGAAAGTATTCGGCCCCCTTGAAAATTTGAACATTTTGCCACATTTCAGGCTTCAAACATAAAGATATAAAAATTTAATTTTTTGTCAATCTACAACAAGTGGGACACAATCGCGAAGTGGAACGAAATGTATTGGATAATTTGAACTTTTTTAACAAATAAAAAACTGAAAAGTGGGGCGTGCAATATTATTCGGCCCCCTTGCGCTAATACTTTGTAGCGCCACCTTTTGCTGCAATTACAGCTTCAAGTCGCTTGGGGTATGTCTATCAGTTTTGCAAATCGAGAGACTGGAATTCTTGCCCATTCTTCCTTTCAAAACAGCTCGAGCTCAGTGAGGTTGGATGGAGAGCGTTTGTGAACAGCAGTCTTCAGCTCTTTCCACAGATTCTCGATTGGATTCAGGTCTGGACTTTGACATGGCCATTCTAACACCTGGATACGTCTATTTGTGAACCATTCCATTGTAGATTTGGCTTTATGTTTTGGATCATTGTCCTGTTGGAAGATAAATCTCCGTCCCAGTCTCAGGTCTTTTGCAGACTCCAACAGGTTTTCTTCCAGAATGGTCGTGTATTTGGCTCCATCCATCTTCCCATGAATTTTAGCCATCTTCCCTGTCCCTGCTGAAGAAAAGCAGGCCCAAACCATGATGCTGCTACCACCATGTTTGACAGTGGGGATGGTGTGTTCAGGGTGATGAGCTGTGTTGCTTTTACGCCAAACATATCGTTTTGCATTGTGGCCAAAAAGTTCGATTTTGGTTTCATCTGACCAGAGCACCTTCTTCCACATGTTTGGTGTGTCTCCCAGGTGGCATGTGGCAAACTTTAAACAAGACGTTTTATGGATATCTTTGAGAAATGGCTTTCTTCTTGCCACTCTTCCATAAAGGCCAAATTTGTGCAGTGCATGACTGATTGTTGTCCTATGGACAGACTCTCCCACCTCAGCTGTAGTTATCTGCAGTTCATCCAGAGTGATCATGGGCCTCTTGGCTGCATCTCTGATCAGTCTTCTCCTTGTTTGAGATTTGGAGGGACGGCCCGGGTCTTGGTAGATTTGCAGTGGTCTGATACTCCTTCCATTTCAATATAATTGCTTGCACAGTGCTCCTTGAGATGTTTAAAGCTTGGGAAATCTTTTTGTATCCAAATCCGGCTTTAAACTTCTCCACAACAGTATCTCGGACCTGCCTGGTGTGTTCCTTTGTCTTCATGGTTCTCTCCGCTTTAAACAGAACCCTGAGACTATCAAAGAGCAGGTGCTCTTTTATACAGAGACTTGATTACATACAGGTGCATTCTATTTATCATCATCAGTCATTTAGGACAACATTGGATCATTCAAAGATCCTCACTGAACTTCTGGACTGAGTTTGCTGCACTGAAAGTAAAGGGGCCGAATAATATTGCATGCCCCACTTTTCAGTATTTTATTTGTTAAAAAAGTTTAAATTATCCAATAAATTTTGTTCCACTTCACGATTGTGTCCCACTTGTTGTTGATTCATGGCAAAAAATTTAAATTATATATCTTTATGTTTGAAGCCTGAAATGTGGCGAAATGTTGAAAGGTTCAAGTGGGCCGAATACTCACTGTAAGGTGATTCCTGGAGAGTCCATTCTTTCCCAAGTGTCACAAATACACTCAAAATACACTGGGCATTGACTATTGTCTTGTCTTCCTGTAGCTGGAGAGATTCAGCATCTCGGCTCACGGAAAGGAGCTTTTCGTCAACGCAGACCTGCTGATCGTGGCTGGCCGCAGATATGGTTTGGTGGGACCAAATGGGTAAATAATCTCATTCATTCACAATAGTAAAGTATAATCATGATGTCATCTTTACAAAGTTGTGCCTTGTGTTGACAGTAAAGGAAAGACCACACTGTTGAAACACATAGCCAACAGAGCCCTCAGTATTCCCCCCAACATCGATGTCCTCCTGTGTGAGCAGGGTAAGTCTGAATTGTAGGGGTGTACTAGAGCATGCACTAGATGTACGAGCAATTATTCATAGAAAAATAAAAAAAATCCTGTACATGGTTTGAAAAGGATTTCGATGAAGCCAAAAGGTCATCTTAATCCACTCCCCTCCAGGCCATTCAAATACAAAAAGCAATACTTTACAGTGCTCTTCTACAAAAAGCATGACTGCAAAATCACACGCACGTACACGGCATGAGACAAGACCAAGACACACACACACTCATGCAGATTCCCTTCTCAAATAGTCTAGAACTATAAATTATCGACTTGATCTTGGGGTGGACGATTTGGCATAAAATTCATAGTGCGGTATAATTTGGGACACGGACGGTAGACGGTACATATTGCGGTATAATTTGGTTTGTGAATTTCAATATAGGTCTAGCAGGTTCTTTCGTATAATAGTCAAGATTGTTACTAATTTAAAATATCTTTAGAGCTGGATAATGTTTATGTATTTGATACTTTAAGCATTTCCTCAATAATTTGTATTGCCGCTTTTCCACAGTCCTAGTACGGTACGTTTTGACTCTACACGGCGTGCCATGGCCCAGTTCGCGTGCTTTTCCATCAAAAATAGTGTGGAAAAGTATGTCCTCAGCGTTGTCAGACCACGTCATTTACGTGTGACTAGTAACTAGTACTGGTGCGGTGCATGTATTTATTATTATATCAGAGTGTTTAATAGAAAATTCAGCACAGCACGAGTAGTTTTTGAAAATGCTTATGTCTTAAAAGAATGACTCGGAAACTTTGAAGTCAATGGTGCCGACTGCTCTGTACAATCTGAATGGGACCTGTAGCAACAGCAGCTTGTGTAGCAGAGGAGGAGGGCAGCATGTCTGAGGATACTGCTAGGCTATAGCTAATGCTAGCGCATTAGCTATAGCCTCAGCTCACTCACTAACCCTGGATTCCAAAGCTACAACTGTACTACACTTAACACATCTATCACTACCCTTAGAGGAGGATCCGGGGTTTAAACTCGTCATATGGCAACTCGAGCAGTAAAGGACCGAGGGAGAGACAGCGGCAGCCATAGGGGTAGCGAGTTAGCGGCTAGGCTAGGCTAAGCTAGGCTAGTCCGGACTCGGGTCCGGACTACAGCAGACTCCGAGACCAGACAATCGATACCCAAACCTCAGATACAATAATAATATATGAATGAAACACAGTCTTGATACAATCACAGATTTATTGAAAACAAAAGTAAAGTGCAAAACCAGCAGTTTACAAAGTCAAAAGTACGTATGTGTGAGACCAGGTCCGGACCAGGTCCAGATGAGAATACTCCAGTCACTCATTACTCGTTGGTAATCTCCACACTTATGGGAAGGGATTCTCATACAAATATACACACAACAACTTAAATGCAAGCACAAAACAGAAACACGTGAATACTGCAGATAATCCAAGATAAAGCACGGTAGCACAGGGAGGAAGGTCGTGGGTTCAATTCCCACCTCTGCACCTTCTCCACCGACTCCCACTGATGACTGCTGTCGTTGTGTCCTTGGGCAAGACACTTAACCCCACTTTGCCCAAAAAGCTCCCACTGAAAGATCAAGGCTATGCTCACACTCAGAGAGCAGCCGTCCTCCTGTGGACTCACCACCTGCAGAGGGTCAGTGAGGGGCTGGTGCTATGAGACTTGGGTGGCATCTCTGACTGCCACCCCCCTGACCCAGAAATGGATTAAAGGGTAGAAAATGGATGGATGGATGGAGCACAGGGAGGACATTAGCTTAGCTGCTATCGATAGCTAAATGAAGCTAATTGTAGCTAGCTCACTGTGTACAACAGACAATCAAACATTTACACAGTAAATACATTTCAGTGAGAGCTTTAACGGGATTCGTAGCTAACACGTTATTTCCAGGATTACCACAGACTAGTCACAAATCCAGAGCTGGGCGATCTCCCTGAAAACTGTGTTGAGCCTCGAGCTGCCTTCGAATTCTTTCTTTGGCCTGAAGAGAGGAACGTGTGGACCTCGTCCACCGACCAGGACCAGGACTTTTGGGGCTTTCTGTGCAATTCCATTTCTCTGGAGTGAGGAGGACGTAATGTAGCCGAAGCAGAGCCGAGCAGAGCAGCCGGTTTTAAAGATGGCGGTTGAGTTGTTTTTCCCAAAGGGTCAGATGCCGCTTCCAGTGACCACACTCGTTGACCAATCAGTGTAAGGCAGTCGGCCGACGTGACGTCATGGCACGAGTACTATGGGGATGGAACCATGGCTGAGGCAGTACGGAAAAGTACTCAAATCTCCCATACCATCCACTAGTGGAAACGCAAAATAACCGTGCTGAAGCGTACTGTACTGTACCGTACTGATACTGTGGAAAAGCGGCATAAGTGACCTAGATAGGGCGCCATAAAACCACCCATTTGTAAGTTGCATTGTTGCAATAAACAATTGTAATCATTTATCCCGTTATCGTGGCCAAGCGTGTTGCAATTTGATGACATAATGACCTATAATGACGGCACGGTGGCTGAGTGGATAGCACTCTCGCCTCTCAGCAAGAAGGTCCTGGGTTCGAATCCCGGCCGGACCAGGGCCTTTCTGAGTGGAGTTTGCATGTTCTCCCCGTGTCTGCGTAGGTTTCCTCCGGGTACTCCGGTTTCCCCTACCACTAAAAATATGTCCAATAGGTCTGGCATGCGCCTCCTGTTCGGCGACCCCGCTCCCATCTCTGTGTGGAGTGAGAGGACAAGTGCCCAAAAATAACAATTGTAAACCGCTTTGTGACTCTGGTCTGTGAAAGGCGGTATATAAATAAAGATTACTTACTTACTTACTTACTATCGCAATATGCCGGTATAACAAAAATCTCCATCGTTGGCCAAATTTGTATCGCATACCGCTTATATCGTTTATATTGCCCAGCCCTAACTTGATCAAATTCAGACTTATCCTTTAATGTGTGTTGGTCCTTGCAGAGGTGGTGGCAGACGACACCCCTGCAGTCCAGGCGGTGCTGAAGGCCGACACTAGGCGTCTGAAACTGCTGCAGGAGGAGAAGCAGCTGCAGTCGCGCCTCGAGATGGGAGAGGACAGTGTGGCTGAGAGGCTTGACAAGGTCAGGACACTGTGCTCACACAATACTCTTTTTAGGATGTTCACCTTCTCACAGGACTTTACCTTCTGGACTTGGGTATAGACTAGGTATAGGTATAGACTTAGAACTAAACCTACTAAGACTTAGACTGAAATACCTACCTACCCGATTCTTATTGTAGTCAAATAATGAACACCAGTCCACTTCTCTCTTAACTTCCTGATAAATCTTCTTAATTTCTTCCCACAATTAGTTCAAAAGCTGTAATAGGGCTAAATGATGTTATTGTATCAAAATATAGATGTATGAACATTATAATCATTAAATAATGGATATAGATCTACATAATAAACATATTTTTTATGATTGCCCTTGAATGCGCCGCATGAGGCGAGCCAACCACAAACCTTACTTCTGATAATTGCTTATATCGGAACCTGTTGTTGTATCCTTTCAATATTGTGATATCTGGCATGGATATCAATTTTTCCAAATGGTTCAGCCCTGGTATTTGGAATAATACTGGATACAACATGTCTGTACTGGGATTACATACCAGGTTTTGCTCCAGTCCTTGGATATAGTAGAATACAGGGCCTTACAAGGTATCTTGCATACATATACACAGCCATTCCCAAACTCAGTAACACGAGGCCCCCTTAAAAATCTGACGGGTCTGCGTGGCCCCCCAAAATAATAACCAAGAAGACAACATTAAGAATAGGCTCTTCTGGTTATTTTATTTTGGGGAAATAGCCTCTGCTACAAACATTGTAATACAAAAATGATTACAGTGGATTATTCAAGTCAAATAATGAACACAAATATTTTAATATTACAAACAAAACATTATAAATTTAACATTAAATAATTATATTATTTTTTTTATTTTATTTTTTGACCTCCCGCGGCCCCCCTGCAGTACCCTCGCGGCCCACCAGGGGGCCGCGGACCCCACTTTGGGAGACACTGCATATACATTTCCCATTGTCTAATCCACGTGGTGTGGCAGGTGTATGAGGAGCTGAGGGCGATCGGTGCAGCTGCAGCAGAAGCCAAAGCTCGCAGGATCCTGGCCGGTCTGTCATTCACACCCGAGATGCAGAACAGGCCCACCAAGAAGTTCTCTGGAGGATGGAGGATGAGAGTGTCCTTGGCCCGGTGAGCACGCACACACATTAACCAACCAGGAAAAATCTTGGTTGGTTCTGATTAGGGCTGGGCAATATGCCTAAAAACTATATCACAATTTAAGTGATTCATATCGTTCAAAATCAATAATTATCCATTTTAAACCTAAATAAATACACTTTTTGTGTCTGTGAACATGTTGGCAGCACTTGTTTTTACAGTCACGGGGTAATGAGAACTCGGACTGGAGGCATATGTTCACAGAATACCTTGCGGTTCATGCTTGGCCGTTATGAGATTTCATAACACTTTTAAGCAACTTTTGTTAAAGTTAAACTCATCATTCTATCAATGTGCAGAAGCCTGTACTTTTCCCTTGTTTTGTCTATCTGAAGGCCAAGCTACAAGAAGCCTCTGCCTAGATCCCCCAGAATGCCACGCGCTTGTGATTCGGCTTTACTTCCTGCTTTTTTACCCTGTTTTTTCGAGCCAGTGAAGTTGAACTATCAAACATTCTATCAACCCCATATTCTATTGATATCGAACACATGTCTATCACTGTATATATTGTTATCGTTGTATCGCCCAGCCCTAGTTCTGATTCAGACTTGGATAGACTTTAAAATGCTCTTGCTCATTGATATTAGTCAGATAGTTCTGATTACCTGAACACTTATTAAGAAGCAGCCTTCTCACATTATGCTCTTTGTAAATAAACAAGAGACTGCATTGTTCTGGCTTTTTGTTTTTTTTAAATTATGAAATTTGTTATGTAAATAAAGTGCTGTCGCGTATAACCCTATATCCTCCTCGCCCTTCAGAGCACTGTTCATGGAGCCCACTCTGCTCATGCTGGACGAGCCCACCAACCACCTGGACCTGAACGCTGTCATCTGGCTCAACAAGTGAGTAACCTTTGCTCACAGGTGCCTTTTATACGAATAGTTGTGCTTTGACCACATAACATCTTCCCTTTCACTCTGTTTGTAGTTAAATCAATACTTGATGGATCCTTGTGTCTCCCTACAGTTACCTTCAGGGCTGGAAGAAGACTCTGTTGATTGTGTCTCACGACCAGAGCTTCCTGGACGAGGTCTGCTCAGACATCATCCACCTGGACATGCAGAAGCTCTTCTACTACAGGGGCAACTACTGTACGCACTGCTGCCTCTGGAGCCTAATCCTTTCCTCCTCCTCCTCACTAAAGTGTCTCCATGTTGTTCTCAGTGACATTCAAGAAGATGTACGTGCAGAAGCAGAAAGAGCTGCAGAAACAGTACGACAAACAGGAGAAGAAGCTGAAGGAGCTCAAAGCTGGAGGGAAGTCCACCAAACAGGCCGTGAGTGCACCTCCTCGCAACAGCAAATATGACTCTTACAATACATTTCATCTGAATTCGAACTGGAGTACATCTTTCTTTTAAAATTATACATGTGGTGTGTCCCTACAGAAAGAGACTTGTAAAAGTAAAATGTAAACAAGGATTTAGAATTCAACAAATTATCTTGAATGATTCACTTTTTAGTTATTACATATATATTATAAGTATGGGGTCATACAGTATTATGGTATATTTTACATGTTTGTCGTAATTATAACATAGATTTTTTTATTATGACTGCAAAAAGGAGAAGCTCTCGGCCACTTCTGTTTTATAAAAGTATCTCTCAGATTGACAAAAGTTGAAAATCCCTGTTCTAGCAATTTGGAAGTGGTGCTTTCCATTAAGAGTGATCGTTATCTTGAATTTGCGTCATTACAAGGATTGAGATGAAAAGAGATCCTTTATTCATCCCACAGTGGGGAAATGTCAGTGTTGCATCACCGGTTACAGAACAGTAGGACTGGGGAGCACACAAGACAAGATAAATGAACAATAACTCTCTCTCTAGCTTTAGTGTAATAAAGAAAATGATAGAAAATCTCTAGCTTGAGCGTAATAAAGAAGCAAGTTTAATTGGAATAGGAGTTGTATTCTATGTGCAGAAATAACAATAATTTCCCTTTTAACCTGGTCAGGAGAAGCAGACGAAGGACGTGCTAACCCGGAAGCAGCAGAAGGGCAAGAAGAAGGGCGGCCAAGAGGAGGAGAGCCTAGAGGCACCGGACCTCCTCAAGAGGCCCAAAGAGTACACTGTCAAGTTCACATTCCCCAACCCGCCTCCACTGTCCCCCCCCATCCTGGGACTGCACTGTAAGCACACACACACACTACAGTACTTGCTGGACGATTAATCACACGTGTAGATAAATCACACCAGCTACATTTGAAAAGATTGTCACTTTTGTCCACATATAGGCCGCGGGTCTTCATGTTGTAATGTAACACTAAACGACAGCTGATTGAGAAAAAACAAAACTGACCCTGTTAAAACTGGCCACAAGTTTACAAAGCGGTCGATTTGCCAACACATTCAGAGAATCAAGCTGTATAAACACAGGAAATGCCACATAGCAAATGCATAGGAGCCATTGGTCCATAGGGAGCAGAATGACCAGTGTCCAGAAATTTTCATGATATGACATAATGTTTACGACACTAAACATGCAACCTATAGCTGCTAAAACTTCCATATAGTCCATATAATAAGTCCATAAACTCTGCTCTGACATTTTTCCTTAATCAGTCCTAGTCCTGTGTATTTTGTTTACATAAACTTAAACCGCAGTTGATGGACCCGTGTCCAAATTCTCTTGCGTCCCAGTAGACCCTCCATCACAAAAAATACACACATTGAACCTTGCGGCTTATATAGCGATGCACCTAAAGAAAAATTGCAGTTTATAGTGTGGAAAATACAGTACATGATGATTATTTTACTGCTGCGGCTTCATCTGTGCGTCTGTGCTCAGGTGTGGACTTTGGATACGAGTCACAGAAGCCGCTCTTCAAGAACGTGGACTTCGGTATCGACATGGACTCCAGAAGTGAGTGCGCACAGAACTGAATTTTTAATGCTTTATTGACATTAAGTCAAACAGGAAAATCCCCCAGAGAACCGTTTAGGGCCACAGTAATAGGTTTAAAAGAATTGAGCTTTTATTCGTGTTGCAACATCTTTCTCTCATTAGAAATCTCCAGCAAGAAATCTCAATCTCTGTACTCTGTCCATAACATCAGTCTGAGGATTTGTCAGAGCCATTTTCTGCTTAAAAAAAAAATATTGCTTCCAATTAACTTTTGCTTGAGAGCAGAATGATCTTCAATCACACCTCTATCTAGTGGTAGAAGGAAATTCTACCACATGTTAAAGGGCAAGTGTTAGGGGCGTCCAAGTATCGAGTACTAAATAAAAACTATACTAATTTGATCAAGTATTGACACAAAAAATGACCAAATTTGAATTTATTTGCCCCTTGACATGAGGTATGTATTACCTTTGCATAACCTTTTTCTTTTTGAAACCTCAGGATGACAGTTGGACGCTCTATGCTTTGCATGTTTTTACTTTGGTAAACCAATTGTCAATATTTGGCGGATCTTTTTTTCACCCCACGTTTAGTAACAGCTTTTTTACTTGCAGCCATGAAGATTTTTAGGAGGTATTTATCAGTTTTGGGAAAAGCCATGTCCAAACTACCCAAATAGAACAAAACACAGGTGAATGTGAAATCAAAGCTCAATTTAAATTTCCTGATGTAACAAGGCCGTATCTTTCCCCACCGTCAGCTGCTCAGTGTTTGTAACTTGTCAAAAAGTTAGAATAAAGGGTCTGATCGCTGTGCGTTGTCTCTGTTTTGTTCAGTTTGTATCGTTGGACCGAACGGCGTGGGGAAGAGTACACTGCTGCTGCTGCTCACAGGAAAATTGCCCCCGGTAAGAATTTCTTTGCTCTGACGCCTTCGCCGAGCACAACACACAAACACGCATGTCCAGTTCTGAGCAGACGAGCCGCTGCAGATCCGTTTTCTGCCTTTTAAACCAAAAGTATTATCCATAAATAAGTTTTGATACATTTCTAAAGTGAAACTATGTACTTTAGCATCACAGATCTGTGTTGGTACAGGTGTACTTTTCCCTTCATACAGGGCTGGGAGTTATGGCTGAAAACTATATCACAATATAAGTGATTCATATCAATAATTATTGATTTTAATAAATTTTTTGAACCTAAATAATAAATTATGCCGGCGAGTGGATAGCACTCTCGCCTCTCAGCTAGAAGGTCCTGGGTTTGATTCCCAGTCGGACCAAGGCCTTTCTGAGTGGAGTTTGCATGTTCTCCCTGTGTCTGCTCCGGTTTCCTCCGGGTGCTCCGGTTTCCCCTACCACTAAAAATATGTACAATAGTTCTGGCATGCGCCTCCTGTACTGGCAACCCCGCTCCCATCTCTGTGTGGAGTGAAAGGACAAATGCCCAAAAAATATAAATTGTAAACCACTTAGTGACTCTGGTCTGTGAAAGGCGCTATATAAATAAAGATGACTTACTTACTTACTAAATAAATACATTTGACGTGTCGGCTAACACACGTTAGCAGCATTTGTTAAACAGTCGCGGGGGAATGAGAACTTGGGCTGGAGGCATATGTTCACAAACATAGTTTTAGTCCTGGTTTAGCTCCTGTTTTGGCTGTTCTCGAGTGTCTTGTGTCCCTGTGACAGCTCCGTGCGGCTCTGATAGCCACACGTGCTTCCAGAGGAAAAAGCTCATCTCTTGCTTTTGCCGCATGCATCGAGTCTCTGTACCCACTGCCTCTGCCGCGCCGCACATGCTATTCTGAACAAGGACGTGCCTAACCACACTGCATTGAAACAGGATCTATAGATCCATGGACGCTACGTATGGTGCGGTTGTTTTTTTTTGCATTTCCCAGAGTGTTTTGCAGTTCATGCTCGGTTGTGATAGGTCGAGAAGCCTCTGCCTACGTCCCGCAGAATATTAACACTGATGAAAAAGGAAGATGACATTTAAATGGAAACTTGGTGAAATCTGTTTCTTTTTCAGACTAAAGGCGAGATGAGGAAGAACCATCGTCTGGTAAGTTCATGGAACCAAATTTCAATGGGTCGGATGTTAAATCAGGATTCTTGATAAAGAAACCCTTCTCAGCTGTTTTCTCAAACATTGAGTTACATCCGTGTGTTTTGTTTACAGAAAGTGGGCTTCTTCAACCAGCAGTACGCAGACCAGCTGAACATGGAGGAGACGGCCACAGAGTACCTCCAGAGGAACTTCAACCTTCCGTACCAGGACGCACGCAAGTGTCTGGGCCGCTTTGGTCTGGAGAGCCACGCCCACACCATCCAGATCTGCAAGCTCTCCGGTACGCACCGTCACCGACCCGTCACCGACCCGCACACCGCAGCCTCACCATCAATGATTCAATGGCTCTAGTGCATTTTCACACAGTTCAGAATCATTTACTATGTATTTCAACTCTCATCTTATTTTTGATGCAAACATTGTTAATAAGTGTTATTAACTCAAATAGTACGATAACTTAAACATTGTGAATTATGAAGATAAGATAATTTTATGTTATCTTAAATGTGAAGATGCACACAGAAGATTTACCAATGAAGAAGCGGGTCTGTTCTTGACATTGCCCAAAGCTTGCAGCTCTATCACTTACTTACTGTTGTGCTTATAAGTTTACTAACTGCCCAAATGAAGTTAACGCGCCCTGTTGGCCTGTCCAATACATTTCTTCACCAAATCATGAAGCATGAGTCTGCCACAGAATGTCAGCTCATGAGCACAACTGAAGCCCTCTCTAAATGACCCCGACTGAATCACAAACCAGGCGTATCTTAAATACAAGTCTGCTTTTTGTCACTGGACTCGAATCAGTGTCTGGAATGTTTGCATCATGTAATGCTGTTGTCTGACAGGTGGGCAGAAGGCCAGGGTGGTGTTTGCGGAGCTTTCCTGTCGCCAGCCGGACGTCCTTATATTGGTAATTGTGTTAATTGTGTGCATTTACTTTTTAAAGTCAATTCAGAAATTCACCTATAAAAAAAACTAAAAACAACTTTGACATGAAATTATAATCAAACCTTGTTCGCTTGTTCATTTATTTTTGATATGTGTTTGTTGCAGGATGAACCCACCAATAACCTGGACATCGAGTCGATCGATGCTCTGTCTGAAGCCATCAACGAGTACAAAGGAGGTACGTGAGGCCAAAAGATAATGTTTCATCATTTCAGTGGATCTCTGCAAACATTTAACACTAAAGAGGATGCTCGGTAACAATGTCACCTGCTGCGGTAAATAGTTTATTGTGCCCGTTCTTAGATGAAGCTCAATATTCAGGCTCAATTATGTTTAATTCAGGCTCATACACACGTGATACAGACTCTAAGAAATAAGGATTAGACTTAAACTGTCACAGTCCATGCCTTGTCTTAGTTCTACAAAGTCTTAAAAGTTGGTAGTTTAGTCATTATAACAAACTTGTACTACCAAAGACTCAATAAACAGGATACAAAATGATTGAAGCCCTCACTCAGACAAGACACTTGGCCAAACACTCTGACCCTACACCTCTCTGCTCTGTGCTGAGGGCATCACTCTCTGCTCCACATACTGCTTTAGACAATAATGAATGAACAAATAATGCTGTTATTTCCAGCCCAAAAGTTGCCACAACTTTGCAGAAATTGGAGAGTCAACTGAGTTTGTTTACACAGCTATATTTTACAGTTATACTATTTATTTTAGAATAGAAAATTTATTTTGTAAATAGTTATGATGAGCAGTGCATTGATTCAGTTTTATATTTCTTGCTGAAATTGAACATAACTCAAACGATGCCCATTGGAGAAAGCACTGCTCCGCACAAAGCAGCATAAAGTCAGGATTATACAGATGAAATATTTGAAATGTGTATGACTGTTTCAGCGGTGATCATCGTGAGTCACGACGCGCGCCTCATCACAGAGACGCAGTGCCAGCTCTGGGTGGTGGAGGACTGCCTGGTGAACCAGATCGACGGGGACTTCGAGGACTACAAGAGGGAGGTGCTTGAGTCTCTGGGGGAGACAATGGTGAACAAGGTCAACCCGTGATCTCCACGCCAACATACGGACTTTTAACAGACGCCATTATGAACCGGAGCAGCAAGCAGATCCACGGATGCAAAAAACAGAATAAAATACTATTGCTTTTTCATGACCTGTCTTACTTCTTCTCCACAAGTGCCGCTTTGTCATTTGAGTCCAAAGTGTCCAAATACGTGACTCTGAAAGTTAAACAGGAAAGTCCAAACTAAGGCCCGCTCTGTCATTTTATGTTGCCCTCTGCCTCGCTAAAATAGGTATTGAGGCACTTTCCCAGTGTCATCCAGCCAACTTCAGATTCATTAATATAGTCACGCTGTCACATCTCATTATAAAGCTCAGAACCTTTAGAATCCAGTCAACTTTATATTTACTTTATTGGGCAACAGTGGCTCAGTTGGTAGAGCATTGGTCTGAGTCTGAAGGTCATTGGTTCAAGCCCACTACGAGACCTACTTCATGACTCCCACTGATGTCTGCTGTTGTCTCCTTGGGCATAACCCCACTTTGCCTGAAGCCCCCGCTGACAGATCAAGGTTGTGTTACTGACAGAGCAGTCATCCTCCAGTGGACTCCACCTGCAGGAGGATCAGAGAGGGGCTGGTGCTATGTGTACTGGGTGGCATCTCTGACTGCCACTCCCCTGACCCAGAAATCGATTAAAGGGTAGAAGATGGATGGACAATTTGCCATACTTGCATGCAAAAGCCAGATCCTCTCAGACCTCTAAAGTTGTGCAGGACAGGGCCTGCAGAATGGTCAGATCTGTTTGCACTATACGTCTACAGGAGGGTAGAAGACTCATACATGTGACATGTGACACAAACTGAAAACGTACTCTACTAGAAATTCAATGGTTTCCTGGCTAAATTAACTTAACCAAATCAACCTTTAATGGTTTCCTCAACCATATGGTAGATCACCTTTGAGTCACTATTGAAGCTTGGAGTTTTAGATTAGTTTTAAGCACTTTTACCATCAGACTGCATATACACCATTTGGTAAAGGCCTGTAAATTAAAGGGTTAAAAAGATGTTTTTAAAATGTTTGTCATTAATGCTCCTACATCTTAGAAAATACCCAAAAATACATTGCTTTCTTCAAGGAATGACCATTGATGGGTTAGGTCAGTTTCAACACTTTGTTGTGGTTTGTTTTTAACACAATGATGCACTTCACATTTCACCTCCTGTTTGGAAGTATTTGAATGCTGGCTTTTTAAACAATGGAACAACGCCTCTTGGTGGAGGTATGTGACCTGAGACAGCAGGGAAACAGGATGGACTTTACAGGGCAAAACATTCTACATTCTTACAATGTCTCACTCAACTAAAAACATACAATTGACAAAAAATGACTACGAGTAAATTTCACAACTGTTCACACTTCATGTTAATTTTATTTCTCTCATACCACAGTAATATAACTATTTCAAGTAGGCCTTGTACTTCCTCTTGACTTTGGCCACTTGGCTCTCATCAGGCGTTATCTGGCTGTACCATTTATACCAGCTTTCTCCAGATGTTAATAATGGAGGAGGAGGTGTGGACCCTACGGCATCATGGGAGTTTGAATAATCCTCTTTTGTAAAGTCCACGTACGGGATCTGAAACGGAAGGAATCCTGCAACAGAAGAATACGTTCACTCATTTCCAAGTGCAGCGGTTCAACAGATGCATCTACATCAGGGGAGTCAAAGCAGTCCTCATAGCCTCAAAGTGGCTTCAGGCTATGACCTATGATCCCGACAGCAAGAGATTCTAAATGTCGCTAACAATAGTAATAAAGTTGCCTGGCCTGCCAGACACTCCTCCTTTCTGTTCAAAAGAAGAACCGTCTGGACACCTCTTCCTAGCCTATCATTTCACGATTTTACCCACATCGGTCCAATCACGCACCGAGAGGCGGGACTTCCTTTCACCTTTGAGTTGCTAATAACTCCTCGTATCTTTAAGTTTTTGTTACGAAATCGACAGCAGTCGTTTACATTTGCACTAGCTGACATGCCGCCATCCCTTGTTTTGTGTTTACTGAAACGGCTTGGGTGCCGCTAGTTGCTGCGTCATATCCTGTGTGCATCTAATTGGTTGATGCAGTCTGTCAACCACGCCCACCGGGAATTCGCTGAGATCAAGCTCGTTCCCAGACTATATGTCTTTGAAAAAGCATATCGTTTGGCAGGCCAGGCAAGTAATATAGTGCAACAGCAGCACAGGTGTTGTAGCTGCTGGTTTATGTTTGCAGAGTCTGCTTGGGTCGGACCGAGTAAAATTCTGAATACACCAGACTCCAATTTCCTCAGGTGAGTCCAGTGTGAACCTGAGGGAATGGGTGGAGTCTAACTAAAACCTGCAGCCCTTTCTGGTACTTCACCCCTGGTCTACATCAAATATTACATTACTACATGGAATTCTACAATGCCACCTGTAAACAGTGTTTTGCTCTAGTTTTTTTATATATACATAAACAAAAAACATAAGACCTTCACCAAAAATGGTGGGTTTTCTAAATAACATGTACGTAGATGTTCTTACCGTGGTCCCGGGACGCAGCTATGGCCTCAGTCAGTTTTTTCTGCTGCTTCATACACACACCTAGAGGAAAGTGCATTAGAGGATCAGTTCTAGTTTCAGTAATAGAATTGAGATGTTTTAAAGAGGATCTTACCTGTTTTAGAGGGGTCATAGACCACTCCTGTGTAGGGACTGATGAACTGCTCCAGTAACTTTACATTCTGTGACACAATGCAGAGATTTATACATGGAGTTTCCACACAGACTATGTGTAAACATTGTCTTTGTAATCAAACAACCAATTTGGTTTTCATTTATCTTGGTCAAATTTATTGAACATATAAATATATACATAAATAAAAATTGTATACATTAGTTTTCTGTCTTTAAAACAGCGACTCTACACAGAGCTCCTCTCGTGTGACTGGAGTAAACTCATGTGGACCTTGTGTGGTCTTGTACTTTTGGTCATTACCCAAATCTGATACCAGAGGTGAGGGTATGACCAATAAATCGAGAGCTATGCCTTTCAACTCTGCTCCCTCTTACAACAGTATGATACAAAAGGCCGAATCCCTGCACACGCTGCACTCGTGAACAACAATTTATCATTTATCAACACTTATGGACATTGGTCATCTGCCATTAATGGACAAAATTTGTTTATTTTTTGTGTTTAACGGTTTGATTATCTGATCTGTGTTGGCAAATTCAAAAGTCCTTTGAGATAACTACCGTTTTTATTAAGGGCTATATAAGAATACATTGAATTGAACTGAATGAATCAGAAGAAACCATATAATTAACTTGGTTAATGATTACTACAATAGCTGTCAATTATAGCCCTAGAGTATTTGAATTCTAAAAGATTTCTGACACAATCACATTGTTATAACTTGTCTGCCGAGAGTCGTTAAATTCAAAGCCTCATTCCTATTGTGACAGAAGGCGTTTTCTTATGCAATTGCAATCAATGTAGTCTGATAAGTTCCGTCTGACATTTTGGGGATTCAGCTCCGATTATCCGCAACTCGAATGAATTGCATTCAATTACATTGACGTCCAAAACATTGAAAGAACCCACCTGATGATGAATTAGAATATTTTGATCTCGGCAAATTGGACAGGGATTTCCACAGATCTTATCCCCTCTCTATAAAAAGTAAACCCTGCATTACATCATAATGTTGTATGGAAACTTGAGGAGGATATAAAAAGGAGCTTACTATGCAAGTCTTGCGTGTTTTCTGTGGGGGAATACCACCTTTGTGATTTCTCCTGTAGCCCTTCCACACTGGGGTGCTTCCATATTTGTCAATGTATTCTGTTGACCGTAAAAAAACAATGTGAAATAGAAGTAACAGTTTTGTTAAAACCATTTTGAACACTAGTACCTTCGCTCTCTAGATACTCCCAAGGTTTTTCTTTGTAGCGTGACAGTGCTTCAACAGCCTGAGCAGCACCCTCATCCTGGAGTGATGCAGCCTGGCAGTAAGTATGGCTTGGAAGAGACATCGGTGATAGACTTCCGCTGGGACTCAACTTCTGAAGACATGGCTGTCAAATGAATATTTATAGTTCTATTATTTTCTAGTTCATGGTTTGGTAACATAACATACACGACATTGTGAGCTGTGACTACAGACTGTGTGCATCCTAGGTCTACGGCTGTGATATGGTCATTATCATTTCAGATCATATTATTCACATTATTACCTCTATGTGGGTTATGAGCCACCTATTATCTAAAACACATCGACACTATGAAAACAGATATTCATACAGCTTAAACAAATGCACATGTTATTTGTGAATAAAATAAACATGGAGAAGAGTCTATGTCAACAACGTGTATAGTCACATTTTCATTAACATTAGCAGCTAGCCTTCACAGCTAACAGTTACCATTAACAAGGTTAACATGTGTCTTCCATGCAGTAATGCACGGGTTTAGTTTTATTAAACGACAACCTCATGAAAACATTGTACGAGTACCTGATAAATCCGTAGTGTCTTCCAAACTGATGGCGTTAATCGCCACAAAATCCTCGCTACGCCTTGCACGGAGGCAGCCATGTTTGTGTGGGGTCATAGGTTGACTGGATCAGAGAATATGTGATAATTCATTTATTCATTTTGTGCAAGTATGATTCACACTGTGTTGATTGCAAACAAATTCGTGCTTTTAATGTTTCTGCCATTGTGTTTTTTTCACTGTTTTCAAAGTCACGTGATATTTTACAATTCGGTGACGTAAGTAGAATGGGGGGGCCAGGAGTCGTACAGGCGCCATTTTTATAGAACATAAACTAAACATTTTTATCAAAGGAGCTGATTCAACTTTATTTTCCTGAACGAATTGTGTTAGTATTTTTAACAAAGCTTCCTTTAATGTTGAGAAACTGTACTTTCCGAGTAGCTGAGAGGCATACAGTGTAAATATCTAAAAGGCACGCCATTATGTCCTTGGAGCAAAACAGAGGTCATTGAGCCGCCATTTTGTTCTTGTTGAAAAAATGACGAAAACGTCATTTGTGACGCAAAAGGCGTCATGAGGTATAAAAGCCAAGTCCCTCCCTCAAGAGCTCATTCCTGGATTTGGTCAAAGGTAAGTCAAGTCAGACAAACAGCGAGGCTGCTGTTCTCCTTTTTGTTCGAATAACATATAAAGTCACATTGAAATTGATCTCATAATTATAAATATAGTTGTATATAACGATAAGCGAGGAAGGTAAATGTGTGTAGGTTATTTTTCGCGCTGAATGTGTGTCTCCTTTGTGTCTTGCAGATATGAATTTTCTCTCCCGAAGACTGATCGTCGAGGACTTTGAACATCTCTGCACTAATCAAATTTTTTTCTTCAAGTAATGGACATTTGATTTCTATTTTTTGCCTCAAGTGTTTCCCGAAGGAAAGGGTAGCATTTAGCTATCACAGCCCCACCCACGTCTTCAGTTTCTATTAAACAATGAAGGCTGACGATATAAAATTGTCTGAATAAGCTATAAGTGCCTGAAAAGCACATAAAACTCCAGAGACGCTGAGGACCTATAGTATCAGTAGTAAGTTGATTTTGAAGTTAAATTGAAAGTGAAATTGTTGATCGTAGAAAGGCGCTAATTTGGCTATTAATGTGATTAACGACAGTCTCGGATAGCATGAGCTCACACAGGAAAGCAGACGGACGCCCAGGCGCCGTTTCTTTGTGTGTGAGACTGAATGGACCAGTTGTTCATGTAAATAAGCAATCTGTTCATAAAGATTGCCATAGGCGCTGAAAATGAGCTCGCGAAATCGGATTTTTGCCTTCCAGAACAGTTTTTAGGGGCTGCTCCACGGAACGACCGTCCATGGCAATCTATATATAAAGATTGCGCTAGCTCGTGGATTACGCGGGGCACGGTGTGCGAAAGGCTGTAGATTCAGGGATTTCCCAACAGAAGTGGCAGTACTCGGCAATCTGTGGATAAAGATTGCAGGACGTAACCAGTTGGGATTGCAAAATACTCCGCTAGTTGTGGTTCTTCTCTTGGACAGCGCTTTACGATCGGATTCTAAATAGACCACACGAATGCGTAGATTGAGTTGGTTTCGCTGCTCGTCGTTTGTTTTCCCTCTTCAGTCACTGCTGCTCTGAGACCATTGTCATGAGTATTTAGAGTGGGGCTAGGAAGTGGTTAACAGGCAGTGCTCTGTTGCGCCCTCTCTCGTTGAGCATTTGTACTACAGCAGCAGTCCTGCTGGGACACCATGTGTACATGTGTGAGTGAGACACTAGTCAGCTGAGATCCTTTTATAGGCTGCCCTTATGTAACCGAGGGCGGATTCTGTGCCATCTGTGTTGTCCCTTTACAATCACACAGTTCTCACTGGGCGCAGTTATCTTCTATGTGGAGTGTGTTTTATGAAATACATGTGTATATGTTTCATTCCTAATGAACAGTTGTCTTTGGTCATTCTAATGTTGTTCCCCCAGTGTACCAGGGCAGGTGAACACTAGTGTACAGTGTAGCAGCTGTCACATGACAGAAGTGGGTTATGTGCAGTGTTGAGGAGTCTATATAAAACTTCTACAGTCAATCGGGTAAGACCAGACTGATTCTTCACATCATAATGATCATTCTTCATTTACAGAAATTATGTTTTTAACAATAACACTTAATTGTGAAATGAGTCACTGATGCATGATGTGGCTGAAAGTAAAAGATTTATTAATTCAAATTAAATGGTTTCTATATTAAAATGACTGTCATGAAGTGACTGCATTATAGCATTAACAGTTTCATTTACACAATAGCTTTGACATTTCTGTTTAATATAATGTATAGGTTATTATATAATTATACATATAATGAAATATTTGTTCCCCATTTCCTGGGGTCAGAACAGGGAGTATGAAGAGCTTACAGTCCCTACAGTAGATCCCGAAGGTAGGTTTAACTGTGCAGTACAGGGCTTGTTTACCCATTCAGTGACGTTTCACACGCAGTAGGTGACTGTTCCGATAGGGGGCAGTAGACTTCCAGCTGATGGTGACGTCAGCATACAGTGAGGAGCTGCATCTAAACTACAGGACATGATTGGAACATTATATTCCTGTCACCTGCAATACAACCACTTTAATTCATATAAATGACTTCTCAATAACTTTCATGTTTTGAAATGCTATTTTCAGTTGTGTGATTGTGATAGATGCCATTAAAAGCTCTTCAATCATATTTTTTGTTAATTGTAATTCTCTTGATAGTTATTTCCTAAATATCTTTCTACAAAATATGGATAACAATTCTTAAAAGGCATTACTATGAAAAATGATATTGTCAAAATATGTCAATATTTCATGCCACTGCATAATAGGTCACTGTTGTCCCTTCAAGCACATTTGTGTAAATCCTCTTAATACAGAGTATATTGTTGTTGGTCACATTGTTGATCATAGTCCAATACTGTCTGCTACATGAAAGAGACTCCATAGCTTCTCAGTAGCTGCACAGGGCCTGGGTCCTCATTGCTGCTTCACCTGCCTGGACATGCTGGACTGCCCTGCATCCTCCTGGTTCACCTCAACTGTATACAAGTACTTCAATCACTGCAATACACTCAACTACTTAGTGGTATTTCTCAGATCACAGGTTTATCTTGACGGATCAGTTATGAATTCAGGTTGGAACAGTCTTTAAGTCGCAGTGGGTTGTGGACATCTGAGTGTTTGGTTTTGGTTTTCTGGAGCTTCCCCTTTTCTGGATGGCAAAAATACCCAAAATGAATGACAAGAGCTCAGAGAATATGAAACTTAGTGAAGAGGTTTTGTTTTGTGTTGCAATCTCCTGAACAACTTGTGCTTCCTGTTTCAGATATGGCAGTGGGACCAGTTGACCCTAGGGAAATTTTGAAGGGAGTGGAGAATCTCCTCGGGAAGGATGGAGAGCTCCGGAGTCTGGAGGGCGTGCCTAAAGTATTCAGGTTGGTAATTGAGGATTCCTGTTTGGAGTATTTTTAATGCCAAATGATCACTAATAGTAGTTTATATATGTTTTTCTTTCCAGTTTGATGAAGGCTTCTACCAAGATGGTCAGTAGATGCATGTACCTGAACATCCTGCTGCAGACCAAGTCACATGATGTTCTCAATAGGTAAGACACACTTACCTACCTATTGACTCAACATTACTACTAAACATGCTATTATTACTCTGAAAGCACTGAGATATGGACGAGGGCGAGGATGAATAGTCCTGATGGATAGAATGACTTTTTATTTTTATATAAAAAGCACTTGGAGTAAATCGTTTTTAACAATTTGAGAACACAAGTTCCAATTGTTTTACTAAAAATAGGAATAACGAATTTCCTACCTCAACAAGAATAATAGAGAAAAAGGTTAAATAATGTATGTATATAATGTTTGTTAATAATTGATCATCATTTGGATCTTAATGTTTAGGACATGATCGGGTTTTTCTCAGTCCAAACTAACGCTGTCCTCTGTGCAGGTTTATCCGAGTCGGGGGCTACAGGCTTCTCAACTCGTGGCTCACATACTCCAAGACCACCAACAACACCCCACTGCTACACCTGATACTGCTCACTCTACAAAAGCTGCCCCTCAAAGTGGACCACCTCAAACAGGTACTGCTGTGCCCTCATCGTTTCCACGGAGACGGCTGTAATATTCTGTAGCTATTATAACTGTGTGGTTTTCCAGAACAACACGGCCAAGCTGGTGAAGCAGCTGAGCAAGAGTGCAGACACTGAGGGTAAGCTCATCTTAATCCGGTTATTGTATCTATTCTCTTTTGAGTATACAGTACAATAGTAAACATTTAAGAACAAAAACATAACCAATTGAATTGCTTTGAAATACTGTTAAAGTTTTCAAATTGTGAAGAGAGTGATGCAGTGGTTAGCCCCGCCCATGGTGACCCCGCTGCCTCCTGATTAGTTGATATAAATTCAAATTCTTGAGGCCGCTTATCATCGGTTTAACTGTTCTCCAGCTTCCTTTACTAGTTGTAGTTATTCTGAGGGGAGGGACTATTTTAGATCTAGTTCTGTTGGTAAATACATAATAGTAAAGTGTCCCATGGTCAGAATTTACATATTTTGCCTACTTAACATATACTTTTACTTTTTGATAATAATATATAAACAAAATACCTTGAATACAACTTAAATTGTGATGTGACTTAATTGTTAAGTTGTGGTTTTTTTATTTTTTAGACCTCTTTGATCCATAAGAGAATTCTTTTACCATTTCCATCTCGGCCCAAAAGTTGTACATTTGTTGTTTCAAATGTTTGTCATGTGTTCTGAGCCATCCCCATGTGATTCTGCAGAGCTCCGGAAGCTGGCGTCTGTGTTGGTAGAAGACTGGATGGCCACGATCCGATCCCAGAAAGCCTCTGCTGCTGAAGTGACAGTTGGTGAGTACGACGCTGTAATCGTCAGGATCTATGGGTTCTAGAAGGCCCTGCGGTGTCTGACTTGGGGGGGCTTTTTCTCACACAGACAAGAAAAAGAGGAAAGAAGAGCCCAAAGCCCCGGTGGCCAAGGAGAAGAATGTGGAGGAGGAGAAGAAGAAGGAGAAGAGCAAAGCCCACGCCCCTAGTCACGCAAAGATCCGCTCTATTGGTGAGATCAGGAACAAGATTTTCTATTCAGGCTTTTTATACTCGCTTCTTTAATATGCTCAAGTTAGAGATGTTATTTGCGTATACATTGATTGTTGACTGTGCTGTGTTCTCATTCCTACTGAAATTTCCCCGCCGTGGGACAAATCTCTAAATCTTTAACATGAGTTCTGGTATGTTCAGGTTTTGACATGGACACGCCTCACCCTCCTCCCGCCAAGAAGCCCCCAGTAGCACCCCAGCTGGGAGACAAGTACAACATCAAGCCCCCAGTGCTCAAGAGGCCCAGGTACAGTCCCATCTGAGCCCTGTGCCCCTCTGCTGCCCCCTGCTGGCTCACTGCACTCACTGACCATGTGCCGTTTGTGCCCTCCGCAGCGGTCCCTTTGACGCGCCGCCCCAGGAGAAGAAGTACAAGCCCCTCAACACGCCGTCCAATGCCACCAAAGAGATCAAAGTCAAGATCATTCCAGCCCAGCGTGAGTTCAGAGCCACATCTAAACTAGACCTGTCTGCTGTTCAGTTCTATTTGTCTAAACTGTTTGAACTTTTGATTCACCGTGAGATCCAGTGTAGCCTTAGATCATCAGTACCATCGTATGAATACCTTCTTAACACTAGAACCCCCAGAATTCTGAAACTAATACTGCTGCTGTTCTGTCTTTTTCATTAGGGCTAGAACTACTAAAAATATAATAATATTTAGTATAAAAATAATGACGTAGAAATAAACTGTATTTAAAAAGAGAGAAGTCATAAAGTTTGGTAGAGCAAAAATCAACATGAGTGATTACACTTCCAAAACTAAAGCCGTCAAATTCACTGGTTCTGGTATTGACATTTTTAGCGACTTTTCCTTTTATAACCCTGCTGTTATTATTGTATGATTGTTGACTATGTTCCATGAGGGTATGTCTGTGTTTCTTACTGTCTTCTATGAATAGTTAGTGCTTTTATTGTCTTGTAGAACTTTGCTTATTTATCAGTTTTTATACGTGTTTTTAATCTGTGACCCCTGTTTTTTTGCTCCTGCAGCGATGGAGGCGACGGGCTTCCTGGACGCTCTGAACTCTGCGCCAGTTCCTGGCATCAAGATCAAGAAGAAGAAGGCGGCGCCCACCTCGCCCGCGTCTAAGGCCGTGTCGCCCACCAATAATAAGGTGTGCACACCGCCCAGATACACGCCTGGACACATGCGTGTGACCGCAATCCAAACTTCAAATTGTTTCTCTTTGTGTACAGGCCAACCCGTTCGACAGCCGGTCCTCGTCTTCGGCCAAACCCTTGTCTCCTGAAAACAGCTCCGGGAACGCAGATGAGAACCAGGAACCCGAGCGGCCCGGGACGCCTGTGCCCATGGAGGACGCCGACGCCTCAGAGAACGGTACAGACACCATCTCAGTTACACAAACACCACCCACTGTACATGTCGTGTAAACGGTATGTGAACAGTATATTGATTCGTATTTACAAAACATTTCTCCTACAATATTCTCTCATGATGTGAGCTGAGTTTGTTGTTGTTCTTGTTGTAGGCGACAAACCAAACGCGCTGTCGGAACCCCGCGCAGACGAGGAAACTCTCACCAAAAAGGGAAAGAAGAAGAAGACCGTGCACTGGGCCGAGGAGGAGCAGCTCAAGCATTACTTTTACTTCCACCTGGACGAGACGGAGCGCGGTAAGATCCTCATTGCTGCACTGAGGCAACACATGCTAAAGCTCGGGAACCAAGTCGTGATGTCATTTATATTTGTTATTTTTGCATCATTATGTCTTAGTTACAAACATGATACATTTTCCCTTTAAGTAAGTAATAGACTGACCAGGAAACCTAGCTTTAAAACATTTTTTGGAATCTTTTGAACCTCCTCGATACTTTTTCTTGGAGAGAAATAACATTAAATAAAAAATAAACACGTCTATAGAGAATCTAAATTTATCTCTGCTTTTCTATAGTCAACGTGAACAAGATCAAAGACTTCGGCGAGGCGGCCAAGAGGGAGCTGGCCATGGACCGACAGACCTTCGAGATGTCGAGGCGGCTCTCTCACGACGCCATGGAGGAACGCGTGCCCTGGACCCCGCCGCGGCCCCTCATGCTGCCCGGGAGCCTGGTGGTCCCCGGGGCCAACAGCACCGAGAAGCTCACCCAGAGGGACCGCGAGATGGGCATCCTCCAGGAGATCTTCCTCAGCAAAGAGAGGTAGGAAGACTCCGCTCTGCAGACCAGAGAGCGCCACCAACATCAGCCTGAAAGTCTTATAGAGATTTTGCTTTGTTCCTCTTCATAAACAGACCTGGAGTTGTTTTTAGCTTCAGCCACACTATTATCAGGAACCTCTGGCACAAATTGGCTCAAGCATTTCATGCTCATCCATAATTTTCTATCTATTGTTTCTCAATTGTGAAATGTTTGAGGTACTATAAATGTTGTCAAGATCATGTTTAAGGGCCAATATAATCTTTTGCAAAGTAAAATTAAAAGGAACCAGGCTTAAAGCTTGGGTTCCACAAACCACTAACAATTTAACCATTAAATGAAATCCATCACTAGTTTTCACACCCCACCCTCACTCAGCCACAAAGTGTCTAATAATGACTCACTGATTCCTTCATATATTTACAAGCTGCTGTGTTGTTTGCAGCGTTCCCGACTGTCCGCACGAGCCTGACCCCGAGCCATATGAGCCCATGCCTCCTCGCCTCATTCCCCTGGACGAGGTAAGACTTCTCCCCCTGAAGCCGGTTGTGTGGAACTTTTCTACATGTTGTAAATAAATAAAAGGTCCATGGCTCCTCCCTCCTCACGTGTGTCCTTCCTGTCCGTTTCACCAGGATTCGTCCGTGGATGAGAGCTACGCAGAGCCCATGGACACCGCTCAGCCGCAGGGTGCCGGGATCGCGGGCGGAGACAACAAGCTGCCCCCAGTCTTGGCCAACCTCATGGGCAACCTCAGCACCAACTCCTCCCGCAGTCCCCAGCAGGCAGCCAGCCAGCCGGTCGCCAACCCGGCAGCCCCCGGCGTCAACGTCCAGGAGCTGCTGTCCTCCATCATGGTAAACACAGACCACACAGGCTTCTAGAGCTAAGATTGAGATTAAGATCCTTTATTTGTCCCACAGAGGTCAGGGTTAAGGTTTAGGGTGTTGCATCACCAGTTACACAACAGAAGAAAGAGCTGTCTTGATGATTAGTAAACGTGTGAGGAAATTCCAATCCAGCGATGTATAAACCTGCATTTTTTGTATTTATTCAAAATCTAAACATTTTAATTCTTCATACACAGATACAGCAAGGCACACCCCTAATCACTTGTACAAGGTTGTGTTGGTTGTTTCATAAGATCTTGTTTTGTAGATGAAGAACAAATACTACTTAAAGCTGAGGTACATACATTTCAAACAAAACTATGCGTTAGAATCTGTCTAACCGGTTCTCTCAAAAAACATTTAGTTTCCATCACTAGTTTTCACATGCGTGTATTATTGGCCTCCCATCCTCAACCAATCAGCTCTCCGCCCCGTCCGTCCCCTCACATGTGCTCGTTCTGTCCTGTCCAGGGGGCCCAGGGAAACCAGTCGACGGAGGACATCATCAAACAGCCCGACTTCAACGAGAAGATCAAGCAGCTGCTGGGCTCGCTGCAGCAGACCCAGAACCAGGGCGGTCCTCCAGGTACTAACCTTTCTACTCCTCCAACACTCTCCCATTTATCTAACGTGTAATATTGTCCACTCAGACCACCCGTCTTTAGTCCTTTAGTACAGTCACTGGTCCATGGCTATGTTTATGAATACAGTGTGTGTGGCGTTACCAAAAGCCCTGGTTCATTTGCTTATGAGTAAATAAGAGATTAAGAGATCCTTCATTTGTCCCACAGTGGGTAAATTTAATACTAACAATAATGATAATAATGATGATGATAATCTGTTTTAGTTTAGGCTGTAGATAATAATAATATAATAATAATAAAAAACGAATAAACTATTCAGTCTCCTTAACCCGCTCTTGAATTGGAACCTGACGGCTCCGTTAGACAGTAGACAGTTGTCACCTTCAGTCTGACCGTGCGTCTCTCCACAGTGAACCCGGGAATGCTGGGCCTGGCTCCGGGAATGAACAACATGAACAACATGAACAACATGAACAATATGAACAACATGAACATGCACATGCAGATGCCCATGAACGGAGGCTACCCGCCCAACAATGCCCCAGGAGGCCCCCGCTTCAACCACCCCCCGCCCCCACACGGCCCGCCCTTCAACCCCGGAGGCCCCCGCATGATGGGCCCACCGCCGGGACAGGGCCACGGCGACAACGGCAACTACTGGGGCGGAGACGAGTCCATGAGGGGCGGCCCGCACAGAGGGGGGCACTTCCACAGGGGCGGGCGAGGACGGGGAGAAGGACCAGTCGGCTTCAGGGGCCGAGGGAGAGGAGGACCGAGAGGAGGACACAACAACATGAACGGTGGGTACAACCAGTACAACATCTTAGAGAGCGTGAGAGTGAGTGACCCTTTGAAACAAAGATACTGTATCAATTCAATTGGTACTGTATATTAAATATATACAGTAGAGCAAACTATTGTAATATTTAATTTAATGAAATTCCTGATTTTACTCTGGTAATTTCCATTTCCATATTACATCCACAAGGAGGTGCTTTTTGCTGCATTGTCCTGTAATAAGGTTCTGTGTCCTGAATGTTCAAGGATATTGTTTTTGCACTACCCTCCTAATTGTTGCAACCCTAATGAATGTGACATTTGAGTTGAGCAGTCTCAGTTTTTGTATTGTCTTTGAATAATATGAGGGACATGAATATATCACAGAATCAAATCGCAATAATATTGAATAGTGGCCCAAATATTGTAATACTATTGAGTTGTCACATCTTTGCCAATTCCTAGCCCTAATAAAAGAACACTATTACTAAGTTTAAAAAACCTATATTGTATTTAATGTAAAAAATCTTCCTCCTCTCCTCCCGCAGACATGTCCAAGAGGCCCGTGTGCCGCCACTTCATGCTGAAGGGAAACTGCCGCTACGAGGGGAACTGTGCCTTCTACCATCCGGGCGTCAACGGGCCCCCGCTACCCCCCAACTACAACGGCAACTAGACAATCAGCCCTCACCCGCAGCAGAACGCACCAACCACTACTGCAGCCTCATTTCAAAAAGACTCCTCCCTCACGGCTTTACAATTTCAAAGAGACTGGAAGAGTTGCATTCAGCTGCCTTTCTGTATTTGACATAAGCAAGCACTTTATAATGTGAACAAAGCAGGGCTGCGCCGACGTCTGTTCTTTGGTTATAATGAAGCAGTGAAAGCCCTACATTAGCCAATACGTGTACTGAAATTTGGACTGAAATCTCTTCCTGAACTGGAAAGGTGTTTTTGTGTCGCCGGTGCAGCCCTGAACCTAAAAACCAATGCCTGGATGGTATTATGTGGACAGTGATGTGAATTTCCCCTTTGTCGCTGCTTGTACTGAATGTTTGAATACTTTTTATCCTCCCTAAGTGTACTAGGCCTTTGACAAATGAAGAGCTTCAGTCCTGCACTTCTCGCAGCAGGCCAGCAGGGGTCGTCGGCCGTACAATATTCCCCGTGTTTTCTGTGAAAACATGTGTCTTTGCGTCTTTTCTGGGACTGGCAGAATGTAAAGTATTGTTCTGTGTTTTTTTTTTTTTTTAGGTTTTTATTTTATTTTGATACAATCTGTTCTTTTTACAGTGGCTATCATTTTTGTCGGTATGAATTGTTATTAATTTCAATATGCATTCATACGCATTTCTATTTTCAGTTGACTCTTTTGTACATGATGTAACAAATAAATGTCAGAATCGAAGCACGGTTTGTCTCTTGCGTTAGATACACCTGGAAACAACGTCTAAAACCATTTGAAGACAACACCTTTGAGGAAATTAGGAGCAAAAAGGAAATCTATAACTATTGTACAAATCATCATGGAGGCAGTTTCTCTCAATCCACCATCACAATTTAGATCCCACTCAAAATTGGCTTGATATTTCTATCGTTTTATATAATTTGCACCAGGATAAATATGCATCATTCATCTATGGACAACTCTCAACTCTGCTCAACTTGGAAATTCAACTGAAATTCTAGATCAATTCCCGGAGTTTGAGTTAGCGCCTGACTGACTCCTGTCAGATTGTGATTGGATAAAAGAATAGGGACTGTGTTTGACATCACACTAATGGTTTTAATGCATAAACTAAATATTTAGGCCCAAAATCAATTTAGAATTCTAATATATAAATCCGCCGGCTGTTCTTTAATTCTTGTTCCTTCCTACTGCTCTAGAACCTGGTCTGAAATCTAACTTTATTACAGTATATTAAGCAGGTGTTGCAATGAGCACAACATCATTGCAAAAGGATCAAAGTTTGAATTTGCAGAAGCACATTAACGATAAGAAACAACATATTTGCTCCTGTATTTCTCACGTTTTTGTTCCAGAAGTTTCTGATGTGCGTGTGGATGGATCTAAAAACAACTCCAGGTCTGTGACTGCAGCGTAGTAACGTGGAGAAAAGAGAAACCGTGTTCAGTCTTGTTCAGCAAAAAGTCGGTTCAAAAATGTATTAATTTGAACAATAACAGTAAGGAATATTTGTGTGGTAAACTTGAGTGACTTCTTTAATGGTTTATTGTGGGCCCTTGTGGAATGACAAAGTGAAAAAACACATTTCTCAAAGATAACTCCTGTACTTCTGAAAGTCATTTAAATGCATCGCTCTGTATCACTGATGTTGATGTTTACTTTTATCTGCTGTGTTTGTACATAATCCCCTGAGACTACAGATGTATACATTATGTTGAACTATTATGTTCATTGATATTAACTTTTTCAGTCAAATAAAGTAAGAAAAATCAATACTGCGTCTTTTGTATGTTTTAAGATGTTTGATGATGCAAGATTGGAAGAACATGATGAATCCTGTGACCCTGAATGTGACAGACCTACGACCAACAGCTTTGATATCCATCCACGGCCTTAAAACATACAGCTGCTACTGAGAGGATTAGAGGGGGCTGACTCCAACTTTCATCATAGATTAAAATTCAGATTAATTTTACTTGCCATTTGCAATTAAACCCCTTTGGAATACATATGCAAAAGTCCCCAATGTGCACAAGACAAGTACATGAAAAGAATAAATTAAAAAAGTCTTCTGCCAGAAGAGTCATCGATTATTATAATAGTATTATTTAAAATGTACATTTATTATGGGTTGGATGGAACATAAATGGATAACTATTACTGTTTTTTCCAACAAGATGATAATGGTAATCAGGAATGTCATGTGAAAATCTGAATCTGTTTGCAGTTGCTTAAATGTAGTATTGACAATGGGGATGGCACTTACACGCTTTTTGCGTCAGCCTTCTCCTTTTGAGCGTTGTTTCTTGAAATTATGGTGCCAGAAAAATGATGGCTTGGCAGGAGCTTTAGTGTGTATTATCTGGTGCTCACTGGGGTAGCCTTGCACAGTTTCCCAAATGTGGTTTTACTACAAATGGCAAATAAATTCTTGAATCTTGAATTATATGTACTTATAAAACTTCTCAAATAGACTACTGCTGTTACTACCAACCCCAGGGATAAACAAGGGCCCACTGCACTCGAGGGTTGCCCACTTCTTAGTCCTCTTTTGATCTCACAGGACCGTGGTGTTTGCAGTGGTGCTTCCGCCTCAGCAGGATGCAGCAGGGCCACTAGGACACGGCTGTTAAGAGTCAACAGTATTCTGTTTACATACACGTAAGTACATTGTGGTGAGAGCCTACATTGCCAACCTTCAATTTTCAGAGTCAATATTTGGGAAATATACCATGGATTAATACCAGAGGTAGCAAAAGTACTTGTTACAGGCATTTAAAGCTGGGGTACTTAACTTTCAAACCACAAGGAAATGTAATTATGTATTAGAATCCACAGTTCCTCGCTCTGAACACAGTTTGCGTCTGTCACTAGTTTTCACATGTGTCTATGTTTGGCCTCTGTCGCAGCTTTAGATCAGCTTTTTCAGAATAAAAAGTGACAAAGAGAGGACCACCCTCACTCAGCCAATCAGCTCTCACCCAAAGAGTCAGATAATGACTCACAGGGCTTTTTCTTACAAGTATGCAAAAGATAACATGTTTTCTAATAAGATACTTTTAGAAGACTTTTTCTGTTTGAGCAAAGAACATTTTGTTGTCAGTAGTTACCACCGACTACTGACAGACTGTAATGCTTATTCATCCCCCCTGTGTGAAGGAGAGGTCCCGCAGGTTTTTTCTTTCTGCTGCTGTCAGAACTGCTCAGCCTGAACATGTCATCTCATCCGTAAATAGTAAGTACTGTAATCATGAGCGATGTGCAACACTGCAACTTTAGATTGTCCACTGAATGTCACTTTATCTATGCCCTATATGTAGATAACTCTATATAGACACATAGAGATATATCGATATATTGATATTGAAGCATTTACAGCTATCTAAGAAACACAGCTACTTATGTTGTATATTTTGTGTGCGCCCTGTGTGCTCTTACTACTGTCCTGTATGTGCGTTGCAACATTGAAATTTCCCCACTGCGGGACAGATAAAGGGCCTTATCTTTATTCACATCTGACTATAAGCTGAAACAACTGTCTTCTATGGCTTTTAAATATAAAAGGTGTTGAATTGAAAACGTATTGTATCGTCACACAATTTACCGTTAACTTTATGGTGTTTTTAAAGTAATAATGTGAAAAACTATCTCTGGAGTTTTAAATTCCACTATAGAGAAACTTTGGCTCAATGACTCTTTAAACCAGGCGTATCCAAGCTACGGCCCGTGGGTCACTTTAGCAGATGTTGTGCGGCCTCTTTGACCTGCACCTGTGGACTGGTCTCCCCTGGCCCGGACTCGAGGACTGCACACCCCCTGCCCGCCTGGGGGCCTCCTCAGTCCTGCAGTGCACAGCCTCAGTCCCCGTTCTACAGCCTGAGTCCTGTATCTATTGTGGATCTTTTGAGTGGTTCCTCACCGATGCAGGAGTATCCAAGGACAGTGATTATTGATTCGGGAAATGTATGGACATTTATCATACCATTTTGTTTTGGACCAATGGCTCTATGTTTACTATTATTGCATTTCCTGTGTTCAAACTGTCTGATTCTTTGATCCTTTGTTGGTAAATTGACAACTTTGTAAATCCCTCTGTGACGACTGCTGATTTGATTTAGGGTAATACACAAATACACAGAATTTAATTGAAATATGTGGTTCTCTTCATTCCTAGCCCCAAGCACCATTGAGATTATAAACACAAATTCACAGTGTCATCCAGCCAACTTCAGCTCCTCCAATATAGGCATGCTGTACTTGGTTGTTGCTAATGTGGCTGGTGAGAAAGTAAACATTTGTCATTCAGCCAACTTCATCTCAGTCTTCTGCAGCCTGCGGTTTTAGCCCAAGGAACATTTCTAATCACTAGAAAGTTTGGGCACCCCTACAGAGTCATTATGGACACGTCTGCGATGGCTCAGTGACTATAACGTGTTTCCATTGTGTGCACTGAACGGTCTGGAACAACAGGTTACAAGAGTTCCGTGTGGGCAGGGCGGGACAGCTGCACAGGGAGAGAAGGGAGGGGTCATAAAACCAGGACTAGAGCGGGACGAGGAAAGGGAAAGGGCCTCAGACAGCTGCGAAGTGGAGGGACATCATTTTTTTTATTGTCAACGTTTTTTTATGATTTGAACTTTGTTTTACATATTATTAGACTGTCATACAATACCACACTATATCAAGACACAACAATAATAATATTAATAATAATTTCAAAGATAAACTAAACTAAGCCAAAAAAAAGTTAAACATTATAAAACCTGACATAGCATGCACAAAAAAGAATAAAAGCACATTATAATAAACATATTCATTTCCCTGCGGCGGAGACGCCACTGAGGCAGGATAAGTCTCGACTTCAGCCTAAACCCCTCTCAGTGAGGCCTTATTTAGCAATAAAATTCCTAATATACACAATGTAAAACCTACGCCATCTTTGAAAAAATTTAAGCTGAGATCTAATGTTCATATTGAAGAAATAAACT